CCCCCATTTTCACTCCAAGGGACCTTGTTCCTGTCCTTGAGGGGAATGATCTCTCTCCTTTGCTTTCAAGATAGGGCAGAATTCTGCCCTTCTGCCTTTACTAGGACTAGCCACACAGGTACATTCCTCATCTAATACATGCCTCAGTTGAACTACTGGCCCTCCCTAGGGCTCAGGCCTCTCTTTGTCCCCCCTGGTGCTAGGATAACTAGTTCRTGGCTGTTGAGGGACATAAGCTCCTGGCTAGGCCTTGCCATTCATTGCCATTGGGTGAACCAGACATTGGATATGTGGTGATGCATATACATGATAAGTTGGGAAGCACATTGAAGGCACAAAATGTTAGGGGAGTTCAGAGTTAGTTATAGTGGGGACAGGTGAAGCATGAGTCTTTTACCAGAGGCCTGAAGGATGGTAGGTATTTGTTAGGTGGGGAATGGAGGACCTTGGCAGAGGTGTCATGTTCTAGTAATTTGTTATAAGATTTGTTCTGCTGAGTGGGGCCAGAGCAGAGCAGGCTAACTAGGGATGAGGTGTGGCACATGCCTGGAGAGAGATAGCAGGAGCTAAGGAGAGACTTGGGTTTTCTAGACTTAAGTTCTGTAGTTGAAAACCTCATACAGATCTGGATGTGGGTAGGGGAGGAGGTTCAAAATGCTTCCTGCTTATGGTCTTGGCAACTGGGTAGGTGAAAAAGACTGATAGGAAGAGCATAACTGAGGGATTTAGAGCCAGGAAACCTGGGACCAAGGGCAGTGTGAGCTACTAACACAGACTTTTCGAGTGATAGCAGAACTGGGGCAGGCTGTCCACTGCCACAGTGACCACTGGTTAAATCACTGGGGCAGCAGAGGCCTCTTGTGGAACTGAGGAGGTGAGACCTGGAAAGGAGTCCTGAGGGTATAAGTTTATGATGCTCCTTGTAAGTATTCTCAGCTCTCAGGGAAACCAAAATTCATCATAGCCCTGCAATAGCACCTCTTTGTGCCTCTCACTTGCCACTGCTTTCATGACCAGCACCCAGATCTGCTTGTAATAGGGCTTGAGGGACAAGGCATCCCCGTGACCTTATTCCCAGGAGCACCAGTCTTGTTCTTGATACAGGTGAGATGATGCTTCTAGAATGAGAATCGGCAGCATTCCCCACCTTTTTTTTGTATCAGGGATTGATCCCAGAGGCACTTAAGCATTGAGCCATAACCCCAGCCCTTTTTTATTTTTTATTTTAAAGTAGGATCTTGCTGAGGCTGTAGTCCTCCTGCCTCAGCCTCCCAAGCTGCTGGAATTACAGGTGTGTGCCTGGGTCATGGCAGCCCTTTTTTGGGGGGTGGGGGTTACTGCGGATTGTACTCAGGGACACTCAACCATTGAGCCATATCCCCAGCCCTGTTTTGTGTTTTATTTAGAGACAAGGTCTCACTGAGTTGCTTAATGCCTCACAATTGCTGAGGGTGGCTTTGAACTCACGACCCTTCTGCCTCAGCCTTCCAGGCCACTGGGATTACAGGCATGTGCCCCTATATCTGGCCTTTTTTGTTTGTTTGTTTGTTTGTTTTAATATATATTTTTAGTTATAGGTGGACACAATACCCTTATTTTATTTTTATGTGGTGCTGAGGATTGAACCTAGTTCCTCAGGCATGCTAGGTAAGTGCTCTACCCAGTCCCATGGCAGCCCATTTTTAAAGTGCTGTTTTTGCTAGGCACGGTGTTACAGTGTCTCAGGAGACTAAGGTAGGAGGATCATGAGTTCAAAGCCAGCCTCAGCTATTTAGAAAGACCCTGTCTCTAAAACAAAATATACAAAAGGACTGGGGATGTAATTCAGTGATTAAGTGCTGCTGGGTGCAGTCTGAGGGCTGGGGTTGTGGCTCAGTGATAGAACATTTGCCTAGCATGTGTGCAGCCCTGGGTTCGAGTCTCAGCACTGCATATAAATAAATAAAATACAGTTTATTAAAAAAAAAAAGTGCTGCTGGGTTCAATCCCAAGTACCCCCCCCCCCCAAAAAAAAATGCTGCTTTTCTCTTTTGCCTGACACCATAGGAACTGTTTGATCCTGAAGTGTCTTRTCTTGCCTGTGAGATAGGGTCATTTGGCAGATGCTCCTCTTCCCACATCTTATCTCAATGTTGTATTTTCCTTCTGCTGTCTCCCACTGAGACAGGACATAGGGTCTTGCACCTGTCTGTGATTCCCCCTGGCTAGCCAGTAACTCCATTGCCCATGTCCTCAGGAGTGGAGCACCGTCAACTGCTAGACCTCGCCCAGAAGCACTTCAGCAGCGTCTCTGCGACATACCCAGATGACACCGTGCCTACTCTAAGTCCGTGCCGCTTCACTGGAAGCGAGGTGTGCTGCCTGGTGGGCAGGGATGCTGCTGTCAACTGGGGATTTTGAGAGAACCCTCATATGCATGGCTATCTTGTGACCCCATAATGACTCAGAAGTAGGGAAAGGGTCTTGTGCCTATTGCCTGAGGATGATTTTACACATATGTGCATGCTTCACCCACACCCGCCAACCTTTCTGTTTGTCCTGGAAGTCTGGCTATACTGTTCCTCAGCCCTTGACATGTACTCTTTCAGATTCGCCACCGTGATGATGCCCTGCCCTTGGCCCATGTGGCCATTGCAGTAGAGGGACCCGGTTGGTCCAACCCGGACAATGTGGCCCTCCAAGTGGCCAATGCCATGATTGGCCATTATGACTGCACTTACGGTGGTGGCGTGGTAAGTGTCAGGATTGAGCATAGGACCTTGCCTTCAAAGAAGAGAGTACTGCCGGGTGCATGCCTGTAATCCCAGCAGCTTGGGAGGCTGAGATGGGAGGATCACAAATTCAAAGCCAGCCTCAGCGAAAAAATCAAGTCACTAAACAACCCAGAGCATGACTCTAAATAAAATACAAAAAAAAAAAAAAAAGACTGGGGATGTGGCTCAGTGGTTGAGTGCTCCTGAGTTCAATCCCTGGTACACCACCCCACCCCACCCCCCAAAAAAAGGAAAGAAAAGGGAGTACTAAGCTGTGGGTTTCAGGGTATGTGGGCCAGAGATAAGAGGGGGTGCTAACCATTTGTGCCCCTGGCAGCACCTGTCCAGCCCACTGGCTTCAGTTGCTGTGGCCAACAAGCTGTGCCAGAGTTTCCAGACCTTCAATATCTGCTATGCAGAGACTGGGTTGTTGGGTGCACACTTCGTCTGTGACCGTATGAGCATCGATGACATGATATTCTTCCTGCAGGGCCAGTGGTGAGTGGCAGCTGGGAACTACTGGGTGGGATAGAAATCTTGGACCAGAGAGGTGGGAGGTTAAGAGTCAACACACTTGTCACAATGAACACTACCATATACCTGTCCTTTACTCCCTGCTTTAGGATGCGCCTGTGTACCAGTGCCACGGAAAGTGAGGTTACTCGGGGCAAAAACATCCTCAGAAATGCTCTGGTATCTCATCTGGATGGTGAGCCTTTTATCCCTAAAGGAAGGGGTAGAATAGTGCATCCTGGCAGTGACAGCTCATTGTAACCATTATTACAAACCAAGATTGGAAAAGAAAACATTGAAGGTCATGCCATGCTCCACCACCCCAACTATAGGGGTTTGAAGCTTTAGGTAGACATGGGGGTAGCCCATCACTGTGGAAATAGGTTGTTAGAAAATGATGGTTGTGGTCTGGAGTCAGAGCAAGGTCTTTGTTAACCTGATGCCAGAGATTTTAGGTGTATATGTGGGTTCAAGATTGGACTGAGTAGGTCTCTAAGCTTTCCCCACCATTAAAGGCACCACTCCTGTGTGTGAGGACATTGGACGCAGCCTTCTGACATATGGCCGCCGCATCCCCCTGGCTGAGTGGGAGAGCCGGATTTCGGTAACATGGGCCCCTGGGAGAGGTTCTGGAGTCTTGGCCTAGCAGAACCCTGAAAGGGGGTGGGATGTTGATGCCTGACGGCAGACTGTTCCCATAGGCATCTCTATTGTCCTAGGTAGCTGTCACCCATAGGGGTGATGTAGTCAGAAGGAAGGGCAAAGGCACTAATGACTGTAGGGGATAGGTGGTGCCCGTGGATGTCTACAGTAGGGAAAACCTTGCCACCCTTTTTGGATGAGGGAAATGTTCCACAGTACATGTGGGAGATCTTGGTCAGCTGGAGGAGGCTGACTGAGGTGGTGCCCAGTGCCTATTAGTCAGTTTGTCCTCTGCCTCTCCCTGCAGGAGGTGGATGCCCATGTGGTGCATGAAGTCTGCTCCAAGTATTTCTATGACCAGTGTCCAGCAGTGGCTGGAATGGGTGAGTGGTCTAGAAAGTCTGCTCTTTGTCCTTTTCCTCAGATCCTTGTCCTAGTCACCCCTTCCACTTCTGCTCCCCTACCTCCAGCCTACATTGAGAGAAGCAATTTGAGGCCCCTGAGAGTAGTGTGGCTGCCAGGGAGTTCTTGCTCAGAAAACCTGTCCCAGCAGCTCCCTGACTCCCTGCCAAGGTGTCTTCATCAATATCCCTTACCCACCAGGTAACGGACACCCTGTTTGTTGGGTGGGGCTCTAAGGGCCTGAGCAAGAAAGGACAGGCTCTGCACCCCTAGGGAATGTTGTCTTCCCTCTCTTCACTGAAAGCCTGTCTTGTGCTTCTCTGGGCAGCAGCTCTGAGCTGGGTATGGCACATGGCCAGGTGTCCCTGTACAGAACAGGTACCCCACCCTGACGCCTCACCCTATCCCCACAGGCCCAATCGAGCAGCTCCCTGACTACAACCGGATCCGTAGTGGCATGTTCTGGCTGCGCTTCTAGGCAGGATGCCTGTGCAGGCAAGAGGGTAGGATCGGGGCTCATGATCCCCCTCTACAAACATGCCACTCTGGCACCTCAAACCCATGCAATAGATACCACCAATAAAGTCCTCTGTTGAGAATTGTGTTGTACTTCCTTTATTGGCATGGAGTCCTTCAGTTCATGGAGGAACAAGCACCTCCCACCAGTTCTACATCCCCTGGATCTTCTGCCTTCCCTCCCACACAGGCTGATGTGTTCTCAGCCAGGGGTAAGTTGGGGGCTGCAGCATAGAGGCCGGAAGTCTCTGATGCTTGTAAAGAACCCACTCCAGATGTTTCTGCTCAGCATGTGGCATATTAGCCAGCTTGTCTCAAGAGTGGGATGTGGGAGTTCATGGGAATAGCCCCAGCCTGTGTCCTAATAGGGGTCCCAGCCTGGAAGCTAGGTGCTTGGGTGGCAAACCCCTCACTGCGGACCCTATACATAATTGCTTCCTGGCAGTCCCTGGTCTGGTAGGACAGATCAGGAGGGGCCAAGAACTTTCCCTAAGGAAGCTTTCTTTGTGTTTACTCTGAGTCCTGCAAGAGGATAGCCTGGGGCACGGAATTCTCTTGGTTTCTAACTGCTGCCTGTACAGGCAGAGTAAGAATGCTTTGCCCTGATTTGCCACTGACTCAGGCTCCAAGAATAGCCCTGAGCTCAGTGGGGCCTAAGCCCCCTCCCTCCACTAGATCTGTCTCAGGCAAGTCCTGAGCTGTTGTTATGCTGTAGATCCCCTCCCCATTTCTTTTTTCCCATTTCTTTTTTTTTTAAACTTTTTTTTGTTTTTTAGTTGTAGATGGCCATTATTTATTTGTGGTGCTGAGGATCGAACCTAGTATCTCTCACATGCTAGGCAAATACTGTACCACTGAGTCACAATCCCAGCCCCTCTCCCTATTTTTTTTTTTTTTTTTGTGGGTGTGGGTGTGTGGGTGTGTTGGAGGAGGGAGGGTACCAGGGATTGAACTCAGGGGCACTCGAACACTGAGCCACATCCCCAGCCCTATTTTATATTTTATTTATTTAGGGTCTCACTGAGTTGCTTAGTGCCTCACTTTTGCTGAGGCTACCTTTGAACTTTTGATGCTCCTGCCTCAGCCTGTGGAGCCGCTGGGATTATAGGCATGCATCACTGCACCCGACCCCTCCCCTCTCCCTATTTCTTGAGGCTATCAGGACCTAGTGGAGCTCTCAGCTGCCTTGTCCTTTGTTTACCCCTTTGGGTCCTGGTTCCCACAGCAGGTGGACAGGTATGCCTCTTTCTGTACCCTTGCCCTGTCTTTCCACATTCAAGTTCCTGGGGAGCCCAAGAGTGAAAAAGGAAGTGAGGGGCTTGAGTCTCCTCTGAGGATGTCTTTGGCTGGCAGTCATGAGCAGGAGTCCTGGGACAAGTTTGTGGGGATAGGGCTATGCTGAAGTCTTCCCAGCATCTTAGCCTGAAAATAGGCAAAACCTTGAATTAGTCTCACTCTGACCCAGTGCCTTTCCCTTACCCCTACTTCATGCCACAAGTTGTCAATTAGGAGACACCTGTCTAATACCTCCTATGGCCTAGGACTGGGGCATTTAGCAAATCATCTTCCTATTATGTGACCAATTGGAGGAAAGCTGTTGGGTGGCATAGAACCTTGATGGACCAAACCCCAGTAGCTTTAAGAGATGTGGCACCCAGACAGGGGGGATCATTGCTAAGTCTGTTGCCCTAAGTTTGAGCTCCTGAAGGAGGTCACTTGATTTCTACACCAATGCCTGTCCTCCAAAGTCCAGGTGGACTGGACATAAGAGCTGGAGCCGCTGGGAGTCATCTGGTCTCCTTGTATTCTATTCAGGGCATTTGATATTTCCTTTAGAGGCATGTTGGGGAGGTGCACTGGAGGTTACTATGTGACTTGGTCAAAGCTGAGATTTCATTGGCACAGGGACTTGGCTGGATTTCTGTGCAGTCCTGGTGAACCATGCTGTGGTTGTGGCCATAGGGAGAGCTAGGGTAGGTTGTGGAGGTACTTGTAGAACAGAATCCTAGCAGAATCTCTAGCAGTATGGGAGACTTAGAGAGGAGTGGATTGGAGGGGACAACCTGCCCAGCTTTAGCTATGATTCTGGTGAGGAGTTTGGTAGCATCTAAGACAATAGGATCTATATAGCTAGAACCCCAAGAAGAGTCCTTGATTGGAGACATAGTGCCATTTTGCAGAGCTGGCGTTTAAACCAAGGAAAGGAGTGTCTAGGGAAGTATAGGATGGAGAAGTTTGAACTCTGGGGGTCTCAGTGCCCTGGAAGAGGTGCAGGTAGGTACTGGCCTCCAAGGCTATGCCTTAGGCTCTATGTACTCATTCTCAGCCTTCTTCCTTCCCAAAAGCCTGTCTCAAATATCTTCTGAGTGTCTCCCTCACAGCAGCTCTTCCTTTCTGGGTGCACTTAGTTCTGGTGAGCTTTGCCTGTATGCCCACTTTTTCTAGCTGAGTCTCCTGTCTTTTCCTAAAGGCTGGATGCATGTGTACATATATGTCCATATTGTGCATTCCTTCTCTGAGACCCTGTTCTCACCTACCCTTACAGAGGAGGTGATAGTCTTAGGAGCAGGAGCTGCCTCTGATGAGAAGTCGTTTGGTTTTCTGCTACTTTTACTTAGAGCACACCTTCCAAGGTTGGGGTGGGAGTCCTGGGACATAGCTGAGGAGACCTTGACCTTGGAAAAGGGTTTTGGGTCCCCTAAGGTCACTGCACCATGTTCTAGGATAGTTGGGGATGGGGGATGGTGGTGGCAGACAGTGAAAATGGGCAGATCCAGCCTTCATGGGCAACAGGAAAATAGGCATTATTGGCTGGTCCTCACCACTCTGAGGTTTGGCCATACCAGAAAGTCCAGAAAGACTCAAGGGGAAACATGTGATAGAAATTCTATCCCCATTCCCTGACTCAGTCCATGGATTGATCTCCATGGGAGGAAGGCTGTAGGGTCAAGCATATTGGGAAGGGGCCCAGTAAGTGTAGATATGTAATGGGCTGCCCAGAATTATCTAGGACTGGCAAGAAAACAGAGATCAGGGCCCAACTGGGGGCTGGCTTTTCTTGGGAGTGTCTGCCTTAGTGTTACCCAGCTGAAGAAAGATGCATATGCAAAGACTCACTTCCTCTGGGCCTAAGTGGAGACTGTTTATAGTCACAGTGTTAATTAGAGGAGAGGGATGGGAAATCAGCCTGATTAAGGGGAGAGGAATAAGAGAGGGGAGGTGGTATTTATGAAGGAAGAAGCTATAAGTATATTGAGAGTGACTTCTGGGCCTGGTAGGGCAGTTAGGTRGAAGACTAGATTGAAGGAAGGAACTCCAGCAGATCAGAATAAAGACATGTAGGTAGGGGGACCTGGCTTGGGATGAGAACACCAGGAGGTAGATTCCTAAGGGATCAGCTGCCACAGTGGGTGGTCTCACCCTCCACATATGGACTACCCCACTCCCTGAAAATACAGCTGGAATGCATCCACCAGGGACTTACTCAAGTCATAGTAGGGAGTGCAGGGGTACTGGGATGGACACTTATGCATAAGCATAATACAGGTTCTCCCTCCAAAGAGGAGGGATGCATTAGTTATATCCAGCCCAATGGGGCCTTGATCTCCCTCAGGCCCAGTTTCCTCTTGCTGGAGGCTGCTCTGTCAAGGAGGTTGGGGTGGGGCACAGGAGACCCACCAGACAGAACATGACTGATTCACAGGAGTGTCCTTAGTCGGGACCCATGGCCTGCAGGCTTGTCTGGGCACCCCCTAGTTGGGGGTGAGTCATCTTCAGCTGCAGCCCCTGCCCCCCCCCCGCCCCCACCATCCTGCTGCTACCCTTTGGTCTGCAGGAACCTATTCACATTTCAGCCTCCAGCTGTCGTGACTGGTCACTCTGACCTAAAAGAACAAGCCTTGTAATCCCAGATGGGGTTGAGGAGTTCCCTCATCATCTGTCAAGAAAGGGGGGGGATTCCCAGAACGCAGGATGGGGGCTTTGCACTTAAGTGCGTCATATTATCTGTCTGGGGAAAGAGGGGTGAGGGCGGTAACCTCTCAGGGAGGTGGGTGAGGGCGGGCCATCTTTGGTCCCCGCCCGCTGCTCCACCCGCGGCTCCACCCGCCAGATCGGGACTTTTCTGTAGAGTGCCTGCTGCGCAGAGGCTGCGGCGGCAGCGACGGCGGCTGCAGGAGCAGGCGGTTTCACAGGCAAGATCAGAACTCGGGGTGGGGGAACACTGAGTTGGGACCTAGTAAAGCCAACGGGGCAAGAGACAGAGATGGGAGTATCTCTGATCGTTTCTATCACCCAGGATGAAGCTGCGGCTCCTGTTGGCCGCGATCTGTGCCGGGATCCTGACCGGGTCGTCCAAAGTGTGGGCTCAGCCCAGGGAAAGAGGTGGGCACAAGCTAGGAAGAATCCGGTAGTACCTTGTCACCCATGGCTCTACTTGGCCTTCATCACTAATACCTTCCTCCATATCTCCACAATCCCCATGGATTCCTCCTGGGGGCATGCCTCCTAAATCTCTCAGACTCCTCAAATGCTCCACAATCTGGTGCTGGGTTCTTCCAAATTGCCTCTTATCCTGCACAGACCCAAATTCTGGCACCCTAGATGCATGCTGGGTCTTCTGCTTTATGCCACTCCTCACTGGTCCCCTGAGACTGACCTCAGTTCCAGATAGATCCACACCAGTGTGGGCAACTCTCCCAGCACTTTGCAATTCTCTGCAGGAGAGTGTGCTCTGGGTCCCATTGTAGCTCCCTCCAAAGCTCCCAGGCCACACAGAACCAGCCAGTTTGCATAAGTATATGAGGCCTACTTGCCGCCTTGCCCCTCAGTTACAGGGGACCACAGTGCCTGGAGGAAATGGGTGGTCTCCCAGAAAAGGTCTTAGTCTTTCCTTTCGGCTCCAGTGACCTGCACACGCCTTTATGCCGCTGACATCGTGTTTCTACTGGACGGCTCCTCCTCCATTGGCCGAGGCAACTTCCGAGAAGTGCGGGGCTTCCTGGAGGGGCTGGTGCTGCCTTTCTCTGGGGCAGCCGGTACACAGGGTGTTCGTTTTGCTGCAGTTCAGTACAGTGATGACCCGCGGTAAGTAGTGGCCCTAGGGAACTGTAGACCTCACCAAGACCCCTTCTACAGACAGGGTACAGAGCCCAGAAACCTGTAGGCCAGGCCCTTCCAGATGGGGGCCTTGGGAAGCCCAGAGAGCCCCTCCCTAGCATCTCCTCTGGAGACAGGAGAGAAATTCACTGGGAAGAGTGCTGATGCCTGAAACACTTCCAGGCTAGTACTCTGCCCAACACAGGAGGCTCTGTTTCCTTATCTGGATAGAGATTTGGAGTCCAGGAGGGGACCCAGGAACTCTCTTCATGTTCTAGCTCTCTGACTCTTTCAAGCCTCTCAATTCACCAGAAAGGCTCTCTGACTGGCAGTGTCCACCTTCCCACAAGTGAATCTTCCACATACAATTATTTTTTGGGGGGTCCCAGGATTGAACTCAGGGCACTCCACCACTAAGCCCCATCCCCAGCCCTATTTTTTTTTAATTTTTATTTTTTAGTTGTATGGATACAATACCCTTATTTTGTTTATTTATCCATTTTTTTTTTTGTGGTTCTGAGGATCAAACCCAGTGCCCCACATGTATGAGCCAAGCACTCTATTGCTGAGCCACAACCTCAGCCTCCCCAGCCCTATTTTGTATTTTATTTAGAGACAGGGTCTCACTGAGTTTCTTAGTGCCTCACTGTGGCTGAGGATGGCTTTGATCCTCCTGCCTCAGCCTCCTTAGCTGCTGGGATTACAGGTGTGCACCATTGCACCCGGCAACATATAATTATGTAACCAGACATCCTATCTCCCTAGAACCTCAAGGGCTCCAGGTCTACCCAGATGCCATAAGTGGAACACAAAGTAGCACCTTGGGAGTTTATTAACTTGGAGGCTTTAGTGATGGGGGGCAGGAATCACAGAATAAAGGGCACCCTTAAGAGGCCTCAGCCAGAGGCTTTCTGGAGACTGTGGTTGGAAAAGGTCCTGACTCCTTGCCTGTTGCTCCCTCCCCCTATCAGAACAGAGTTTGGCCTGGATGCACTTGGCTCTGGGGGTGATGTGATTCGTGCCATTCGTGAGCTCAACTACAAGGGGGGCAACACTCGCACAGGGGCTGCACTTCTGCATGTATCTGACCATGTCTTCCTGCCCCAGCTGGCCCGGCCTGGCATCCCCAAGGTGATCCCTAACCCCTACCATGGCCTTCCAAGGTGACCCCAAAATAAATGTCTGAAGCAGCCCTAATTTGGCCTCCGCACCTGCTCTAGGTCTGCATCCTGATCACAGATGGGAAGTCCCAGGACCTGGTAGACACAGCAGCCCAGAGGCTTAAGGGACAAGGGGTCAAGCTGTTTGCTGTGGGTGAGTACTAAGCTAGGTGACAGGTCAGCTGGGGTGGACATATGGGACATATAGGCAACTGAGTCCTGATTGGGCATCACCTCAGGAATCAAGAATGCTGACCCTGAGGAACTGAAGAGAGTTGCCTCACAACCAACCAGTGATTTCTTCTTCTTCGTCAATGACTTCAGCATCTTGAGAACCCTATTGCCCCTCATTTCCCGGAGAGTGTGCACAACTGCTGGTGGTGTGCCTGTGACCTTGCCTTGTGAGTTCCTGTCCACACTGTGTGCCCTAACCTGGGCCACTTACCTAACCCTAGCATGGGAGTGCTGAACCCATCACATGTGCTCAGACCCCTGGTCCTCCTGCCCCATCACCTGATTTCCCTCATTGGCAGCTGTTGACTCAACAACTGGCCCCCGGGACCTGGTGCTGTCTGAGCCAAGCAGTCAATCTCTGAGAGTACAGTGGACAGCAGCTAGTGGCCCTGTGACTGGCTATAAGGTCCAGTACACTCCTCTGACAGGGCTGGGACAACCACTGCCAGGCGAACTGCGGGAGGTAAGGATGTCAGAAGTGATAGGAGGGTGGCTGAGGACTTGACTGGATAATATGAGGTAACCTCTAATCCTGGGCAGGTGAATGTCCCAGCTGGTGAGACCAGCATGTGGCTGCAGGGTCTCCGGCCACTGACTGAGTACCAAGTGACTGTGGTTGCCCTCTATGCCAATAGTATTGGTGAGGCTGTGAGTGGGACAGCTCAGACTAGTGAGTAATTCTATCAACTTCTGACCCCATTCACCTAAATACCCTCCAGCCCCAGAATCCTTGCCCACTCCTGATTCTATTTACCCCCAGCTGCCCTAGAGGGGCCAGAGCTAACTATCCAGAATACCACAGCCCACAGCCTCCTGGTGGCCTGGCGGAGTGTGCCAGGTGCTACTGGTTACCGTGTGACATGGCGGGTTCTCAGTGGTAAGTGAGAAGTGTGGTATGGGGAAGTTCCTGCACTTCAGAAGAGATTATAGAGTCCTGAGTCTGCAGGGCCCATTGACCCCTCTATGATGCCCCATGCAGGTGGGGAAACACAGCAGCAGGAGCTGGGCCCTGGACAGGGGTCATTGTTGCTACGTGACCTGGAGCCTGGCATGGACTATGAGGTGACTGTGAGCACCCTACTCGGCCGTAGTGTGGGGCCTGCTACTTCCCTGACTGCCCGCACTGGTGAGAAGGCTGAGCACTTTCTTTAGGCTGGGTGGGCAGGCAGGGTAGGGCAAAGAGGCCATTGATGTCCCATGTGCCCTTGTCAGACTCTTCTGTTGAGCAGACCCTGCGTCCTGTCATTCTGGGACCCACATCCATTCTCCTTTCTTGGAACTTGGTGCCTGAGGCCCGTGGCTACCGGTTGGAGTGGCGTCGTGAGAGTGGTCAGTGCAGGGAGAGGGCTGTGCAGGCAGTAGTCAGGGTTAGGCTTCAGCTAACCTGACTCTGTCTTCTTGCAGGTTTGGAACCACCCCAGAAAGTGGTGTTGCCCTCTGATGTGACTTACTACCAGTTGGATAGGCTGCAGCCAGGCACTGAATATCGCCTCACACTCTACACTCTGCTGGAGGGCCGTGAGGTGGCCACTCCTGCAACTGTGGTCCCCACTGGTGAGAACTCTCAGCCTAAGTGACTGGGGAAAGTGTCAGGTACCCAAATCAACTCTCATTGTGCTCTCCAACAGGACCAGAACAGCCTGTGGGCCCTGTGATGGACCTACAAGCAACTGAACTGCCTAGGCAGCGAGTACGAGTGTCCTGGAGCCCTGTCCCCAGTGCTACTGAGTACCGAATCACTCTGCGCAGCACCCAAGGTGAGGGGAAGCAGCCAGAAAATCTCTAAAGTTCCAGCCCTCAGGGTCTGATTGCACCCTTGCCCCATTCCTTCCACTCCTGGATCTCTATAAGCTTTTCCCTGTCTCTGTCAATATACCTCCCAAGATGGCAGTGAGCCCAGAGCTGTCACAGGGTCTTGGTCCTGGTTTTGACTTTGGCCCCTGTCTTTAACTCCCAGAACTCTGGCCTCCTCAGCTGGCTCTGTCTCTACTCCTTGCCCCACATCCCTGTCCATAACTTTCATCCTTCTTCATAGCCACAAGCTCTTATCACTGCCCTCTCTTATCCTAGCAGTGACTACTGTCCATACCAACCTCTCATTTTATGTCCTCATCGAATACTGACCTTTGTCATCCTGCATCAATTTCTTTTTTTGTTTTTTTTTTTTGAGTTTGCCTTTTTTTAAATTATGATTTGATATTATATTTTTAAAAAATATTTATTTTTTTTGTTTTAGGTGGACACAATATCTTTATTTTTATTTTTATGTGGTGCTGAGGATCGAACCCAGTGCCTTGCTCATGCCAGGCCAGCACACTACCACTTGAGCCATACCCCCAGCCCCATTGATATTAGTTTTTAACTTTTACTTTCTAAAACAAAACGTGCATATTATAGAATAATACCATTTGTAAGTATGATTGGTGCTGATTGCTTACCATGAGAATCTTTTTTGTTTGTTTATTTGTTGTTTTTAGAAAAACGTGTATTCTGACACATTATATATACATGGAGTGCAACCCATTCCAATTAGGATTTCATTCTTGTGGTTGTACCTCCATCAATTTCTTTCTTTCTTTTTTTTTTTTTTAGAGAGAGAATTTTTAATATTTATTTATTTTTTTAGTTCTCGGCGTACACAACATCTTTGTATGTGGTGCTAAGGATCGAACCCGGGCCGCACGCATGCCAGGCGAGCGCGCTACCACTTGAGCCACATCCTCAGCCCCGCCTCCATCAATTTCTATCAACGGCTTATCAACCTTGATTGCTGTCCACTGACTCCTGTCATCTTACAACCTGTGTTTCTATCTATTTACCCCTGTCATCCAGTGTCCCCATTCAACACTGGCCCCTGTTAATCAATGTTGCCATTCATCACTGGCTGCTTTTAACCTGTGTCCTCATCTCTCACCCTTTTCATCTGTGTCCCATTTTCACTAACTCCTATCCCCCATGAGTCATCTCATCATGTGTCCCTGTTCATCACTGATTGCCATTATTTACATTCTTGTCTCTAACTGACCCCTACCCACCAACCCTTCCTTCTCTTTCAGGGGTTGAGAGAACACTGGTGCTTCCTGGGAGTCAGACAGCCTTTGATTTGGATGATGTTCGTGCTGGGCTCAGCTACACTGTGCGGGTGTCTGCTCGAGTGGGTGCACGTGAGGGTAGTGCTAGTGTCCTCACTATTCGCAGAGGTGAGCCCTGTGAGAGGCTTATGAGGAACAGCTGATTGATTGACTCCTGCTCTGATCTTGACCCTGGCCCCTGTCTTTAACTCCCAGAACCAGAAACCCCACTTGCTGTCCCAGGACTACGAGTTGTGTTGTCAGATGCAATGAGAGTAAGAGTGGCCTGGGAACCTGTTCCTGGAGCCAGTGGATTTCGGATTACTTGGAAGACAAGCAGTGGTCAGTGTGGGATGTGCAGGGGTATGATCAGAGTATGGGGAACTAAGGGGATAGACAGAAGTCATGCCAGCATTTCTCTCTGTTCCTAGGTCCAGAGTCTAGTAAGACATTGCCCCCAGACGCTACTGCCACAGACATCCTGGGGCTGCAGCCTGGAACCTCCTACCAGGTGGCTGTGTCTGCACTTCGAGGGAGAGAGGAGGGCCCCCCTGTGACCATCATAGCTCGAACCGGTCAGGGCCTGACCCAGTTCCTTGGATCTCTGCCTCTAGTGTCCATTCAGACTCCTATACCTCTGTGCTCAGATCCCTGCTTCTCCCCAGAACTCCAGTCTCCCCCTTACATTCCTACTGCCTCTTCCTACTGCTTTCCCCTCCAGTCTCCATGGTCTCCTTAAGTCCCCACTTCTTCATATTCGTCTGCCTCTCCCCTAAATCTCCCACTATCTTTGCCCTGTATTTCTACTACTTATCCCTCAGACCCTCACCACTTTTTCTCCTGGACCTAACTCTCAGACTTCCACTTTCTCATTTGACAGACCCCACTCTGTGCCTCCTAAAGTCTCTACCAGATTTCCCTCTCTCTGTCAGATCTTGTTGTCTCTTATATTCCTGTCACCTGCCAGCTCAGATTCCCATTCCTTCCCCATCTGAACCATTCATCATCTCCTTTATCAGGTCCCTGTCTCCTGTTAGACTCTCATAGTCTTCCCTTATCAGATGATTCCTGTTCCCTCCCCCATCAGATTCCCCATTGCCTCTCTTCCCAGACCCAGTGGGCCCAGTGAGGACAGTTCATGTGACTCAAGCTGGCAGCTCATCCGTCACCATTGCCTGGACCAGGGTTCCTAGTGCCACAGGATACAGAATTTCCTGGCACTCAGGCCACGGTGGGAGTCAGGAGTTTGGTAGGGTTGTGGGTGGCAGATCTGGATGGAATAGGGGCTGGAGTTTTTCTTGGGGGTCCAGGTTGAGGGTTGGGGGACAGAGTATGGCTAGCCCTGGAATTGCTTCTATCCCTGTTCCCAGGCACAGAGAAATCCCAGTTGGTTTCTGGGGAGGCCACAGTGGCTGAGCTAGATGGGCTGGAGCCAGATACTGAGTATACAATACACCTGAGGGCCCAAGTGACCGGTGTGGATGGGGCCCCTGCCTCTGTTGTTGTGAGGACTGGTGAGTGGACCCTGGCTACCTGCTAGCCACCACACCACATTGGCTATTTTGCCTTACTGTGTAAAGTCTCTACCAGAGACTTTCCTGACTGTTCCAGCTGCCCATTCCACCGCTGCTCAATGACAGTCCTGTCCATTCTGAACCACTCATGATGATTAAGTATCCATAACAGTATGGATGTCCCACACTGCCCACTATGAATCACTGACCTCCTCAGGGTTTCCTACTCTGACCAGTCCACCCTAAACTCACCTAACCTTCAGATTTTCTCTGCATTTACCATGCCTGCACTGCCACCCTGTTCTCTGCTAGATACCCAGTGGCCCTGATCTCTTTCCTTGCCTGTGTTCCTAGCTCCTGAACCTGTGGGCAGTGTGTCCAAGTTGCAGATCCTCAATGCTTCCAGTGATGTTCTTCGGGTCACCTGGGTAGGGGTCACTGGAGCCACAGCATACAGACTGGCTTGGGGCCAGAGTGAAGGTTTGGCTCCCTGGTTCACCCTTGTTCTTTATGACTGGGATTGCTCCTCTGGCACAACCCTGACTGCTGGTCTTTGCTTGCATGGCCAGGTGGCCCCATGAGACATCAGATACTCCCAGGAAATACTGACTCTGCAGAGATCAGGGGTCTTGAAGGCGGAGTCAGCTACTCTGTGCGAGTGACCGCACTTATTGGTGACCGAGAGGGCGCACCTGTCTCCATTGTCGTCACCACACGTAGGCGGATCTTGGGTGGGAGCGAGCCTTGAAATGGGGTTTGGATTGTCTGTGGGGTGGGGCTGGTGCTTGGATTTGGAAATGGGACCAAGTATTGGTAATGAGCCAGTAGGGGCAGGATCTGAGAAAAGAGGAAGGGTGAAGCCTGAGACAGGTAGAGCGGCTAGTTGGGACAGGTGAGTGTGTGGGATTGACATTGGGGTCAGTCGGTGCAGAGCTTCCCTGAGTCCCACGTTTTCTCTCAAGCACCTGAGGCTCCAACAGCCTTAGAGACACTTCGCGTAGTGCAGCGCAGTGAGCACTCACTGAGACTCCTCTGGGAACAGGTGCCTGGGGCACATGGATTCCTTCTTCGCTGGCAACCTGAGGGTGAGAGGTGCCCCAATAGGTTAGGGACCTAACCAAGTGGGGGCAGGGCTGTGGGCAGAGCCAGTGAGATTGACAAGGTCAGTGGGAGCAGGGTCTGCAGGATCTGAGACAGGGGTGGGATTAATCAGTGAGGTGGGTGGGACAAAGGAGGCCCTAGAGGATCAGTTGGGTAGGGTCAGAAAAGTAGGCAGCTGTAGGGAGAATAAGGAAGATCAATAGGGAGGGTGAACCCTGAGTCAGTCAGTGAGGTTGGTGGGGGTTAGTGAGGAGTGGAATTCACTAATACTGGTAGGTAGCATCCTCCCACATGCTCCTGGTCCCACCCTCATTTCTGCCCCAGGTGGCCAGGAACACTCTAGGGTTTTGGGACCTGAACTCAGCAGCTACCTTCTGGACGGGCTGAAGCCAGGGACACTGTACCATGTGTGGCTGAGTGTCCTAGGGCCAGCTGGAGAAGGACCCCCCAGGGAGGTGACTGCACACACTGGTGAGCCCAGAGGTCCCACTCTGCTTTGGTGTGCTCGGGTTGGGGCTYGTCCCCTGCCTCACACTAATGATCCATCCTGATTTCCTGCACCCCAGATTCTGAGTGACTTCTGTTGTCCTCCTACACACTTGACCCTAGAGTAATCACAGCATGACCTCCCATGACACTTCTCTAAGATAACCTGCTCCAGGATCTCAGAACTCTCTCCTTTGGGTTCTCAGGACACCTTGATCTTTGATTTCTCCTTCAGAGTCACCTCGTGTTCCAAGTACTGAACTAAATGTGGTGGAAACCTCGATCGACTCAGTAACTCTGGCCTGGACCCCAGTGTCTGGGGCATCCAGGTACATCCTATCCTGGCAGCCACTCAGAAGCACTGGCCAGGGTGAGTGTGAGGCCAAGGTTGGGGTGGGCTGGCAGTTGGAGCTCCATAGAGGGCCTCCTTCTTAATGAAGTTTTGTCCTTTGCAGAAGTACCAGGGACCCCACAGACACTTCCAGGCATCTCGAGCTCCCAGCGGGTGACAGGACTAGAGCCTGGCATCTCCTATATATTCTCCCTGACACCTGTCCGCGGGGATGTGCTGGGTCCTGAGGCCTCTGTTACACAGAAGCCAGGTATAGAAGGCACAGTAGGAGAGGCCTAAGAAGGATTGCTAGATGGGCCCATCAGTAACTTGACCCCTTCCTGCAGTGTGTTCCCATGGCCCAGTGGATGTGGTGTTCCTGTTACATGCTACTAGAGACAATGCTCACCGTGCAGAGGCTGCTAGGCAGGTCCTGGAGCAGTTGGTGTCGGCACTTGGGCCTCTTGGGCCACAGGCTACCCAGGTTTGACCCTAAAGGCAGTCAGACCATATGTCCCCCCACCTCTCTGCTCATCCCAGGCTCCACACTAGTCACCATCTCTCTACCCCACCACAGGTCCAGTCTTTCTCCCAGGCTCCAGATCTCACCTGCTGGTTGGCTCCCTATTCTATTATCATTACTGACCTCCTAATAAGAAATTTAAGTTTAGTCATCCCCACTCTGTTTCTCTAGGCTCTATATGTTCCCATCACTGCTTTGTCATCCCCCCAGGCTCTGTATCTCCCTCTACCCCAGGTTGGCCTGCTATCCTACAGTCACCGGCCCTCCCTACTATTCCCACTGAATAGTTCCCATGACCTTGGCATCATCTTGCAGAAGATCCGTGACATCCCCTACATGGACCCAAGTGGGAACAACTTGGGTGAGGACTGCAGTGAGCATGGACTCCTTGGGATTCCCTATTAGGAGCTTGGTTTCCCACCTCCCAATTCTACCATGTCTTTCCTCCCAGGCACAGCTGTGGTCACAGCTCACAGACATCTGTTGGCACCAGATGCTCCTGGGCGCCGACAACAAGTGCCTGGGGTTATGGTTCTGTTAGTGGATGAGCCATTGAGAGGTGACATATTCAGTCCTATCCGCGAGGCCCAGTCTGCTGGTGAGGAATTGGGTTGAGGGGAATGAGATCTGGGAACAGGGATGGCCCCAGAGGGGACATCATGCAGGCTACTGGACCCCTCTTTAGGGCTCAAGGTGATGATGTTGGGCTTGGCTGGAGCTGACCCAGAACAGCTACGTCGCTTGGTGCCAGGCGTGGACCCTGTGCAGAACTTCTTTGCTGTGGATGATGGTCCAAGTCTGAACCGGGCAGTCAGTGATCTGGCAATAGCCCTGTGTCAAGCAGCCTCAGCCACTCAGGTTTGGAAGAGGCCTCTGGGGGTGCTAGGTGGTATAGAAGAGGGGATCTGGGGCTCTTGAAAGGATCAAATGGACTTAAAGAGATCTTGTGTTCATAGCCACGGCCAGAGCCTTGCTCCGTTTATTGTCCAAAGGTAAGTGTCCAGACGTGAGTGAGTGGGTAAAGGCCACATCTGAGGCTAGTCATGCTGATTCTCGCTGATATGTCTTTTCCCAGGGCCAGAAAGGGGAACCTGGAATGATGGTGAGTGGCCTTGTGGGAGTATACAATGGGTTGGGCATCAGTGGAGCAAGGAGAACTGACAGCATGATCACTCTTCCTAGGGCCTGAAAGGACAAGCTGGGCCTCCTGGCCCCTCCGGTCCCCCGGTGAGTGCCTCTCCACACCTGTCCCTGTCCTGACTGGCTTACTACCTCCTTACCTACTCTCCCCTCTCAGGGCAGGACTGGTGCTCCTGGCCCCCAAGGCCCTCCTGGAAGTACTGTTGGAAAGGGTGAAAGGGTGAGTGAGAAGACCATGGGGTGTCCCCCAGGTTGCTCTTCCTAGTGTTCTCAGGGGTTTTAGAAGGAAGAAAGAGGAAGTAGAATTAGGACCGCAGAGTATTCCTAGAAGCCTAAGTGGAGATTATAAACTACATCAAAGACTTGGTGGAAACTCTGAAGTGGAGGGGTCAGAGAGGCCATGAGATCCTCTCGAGAGGCTCCAGGTAGCAGTTATGGGTCCCAGAGGCAGGGAATACTTTCTGCCTTATCATGCTGTTCAGTTCAGAGGGGCCATTCTCTGTCCTTTGGCTCCACCCCTGACAATACTAGGAGGACTATGGGGTGGGAATCCCTGGTTGATGGACTGGGGCTCCTTCAGCAAAGCAGGGCTTTGGAGAGGGGGTCCTTTCCTCTTCTGATCTCTTTGCCTCCTTAGGGCTTCCCTGGTGCAGATGGGCCTCCAGGCAACCCTGGTCACCCTGGGACTCCTGGAACTCCTGGAAGCCCTGGCCTGAAGGTGAGAAAACTTTGCCCTTTCAGGCCTTGGTAGGACAAATGCTTGAGTGAGTGGGTGGTTCTCACTGTTTTGACTCTTGCCTCCATTTACAGGGCTCCCCAGGTTGGCCTGGCCCTCGTGGGGAACCGGTAAGTGCCTTCCCTTCTTTGCTTTCCCAGGTTCTTTCTACAGGATGGGGAGGCTGGGCTGGGGTGTTGTTGGCCCATGGGGCCACCCTGAGATTCACCTGAGCCTAAAGCACCACTGTCTGCTCTGTTTTGTCCTTAGGGAGAGCGAGGACCTCGAGGCCCGAAGGGGGAGCCGGTAGGTGAAGGGGGAATGAGGGTCAAGTTGTCCTAGGGAAGAAGAGGTTGCTGCAGGCAATCTTGGGCCAGGCCTGAGGTGTGGTAAGGAATAGCTGGGGTACCTTTAGAATTTTCTTCCACCTTGAACCTTCACTACCCTGCCTACTGCTCTCTGTCCCTGTAGGGAGAGCCTGGGCAAGTCACTGGAGTAGACAGACTAGGGCTTCCTGGAAAGAAAGGGGACCCTGGACCTTCGGTAAGTCCCAGGGATTATGTGGGAGGGAGCAGGTGATCTGCAGTGTGGAACTAATGTGTAAGATTTGTGTGTAAGAGAGTAAGATTTGTGGGGTTTGCACCTTATACTTTGTCTCTTCATTAGGGCCCTCCTGGACCTCGTGGCCCTTTGGGAGATCCAGGACCCCGTGGTCCCCCTGGCTTTCCTGGAACAGCTGTGAAGGTAATAGCATGACCCCCATGTGATTCAAAGACCCGATGACTCCACTGAAACCTACAACACCTACTGATTGTTCTGACCTTTTGACCCCCACCCATGTCATGACTCCTCAGTTCCCATGTGATTCTTATAATCTACTCACTATGACTCTTGTCTATCTGGTGTCTTGGGGAAGGAGGTATGGTACAGATTCATGGGGTCATAATCTGTTTTCCAGGGTGACAAAGGTGATCGTGGGGAACGGGTAAGTTAGGTATAAGACATGCAGGTGGCGGCTTGGAGATGGATTCCTCTGGCCATCCGCTGACTTGCTGTTCTCTCCCAGGGTCCCCCTGGACCAGGTACTGGTAGCATGGCATCTGGGGAACCTGGACTGCCGGTGAGGGAACCTTGATGCTCTACTGGGGAACCTGCTCAGGGATTTGGGTAGAAACTGGGGGCTCTGCTGGGCCTGGGATTTGTTCCTAGATTAATATGTTTATGCGTTCCTCCTAGGGTCTTCCTGGAAACCCTGGACCCCAAGGCCCAGTTGGTCCCCCTGGAAAGAAAGGAGAAAAGGTAGGAAACTTGCCTCTTGGTATCTTAGTTCAAAGGCAAGAGGCTGGGTGTGGGCTCAGGGCTTCCCTGTGTCTTCCTAACATGTGTTTCTCTGACAGGGTGACTGTGAGGATGGAGCCCCAGGCCTCCCAGGACAACCTGGGACCCCGGGTGAGCCGGTGAGTTAGGGATTGGGAATTCTGAATGTGGTAGGTATGACCCCACCTTCAACCATTAACTCCTACTCTTTCCTTTTGCCCAAACTTTAATCTTTGAATTGCCAATTTCATCTTTTCCAGGGCTTGCAGGGACCTCCTGGAGTCACTGGCCCCAAAGTGAGTACTAGTACTAGTACTCTTCAGGAGTGAAGAGTGATACTCTGAGCCTCCCATGGTGTTAGGGGAGGCTGGAAGACCAGGAGATAGGGGTTCTGTCCAGGTTGGAGGATGTGGTTTTAGAGAAGGGGGGATAGTTGGAGTTTATAACACCTTGTTTGGTTTCACCAGTCAAGGCCCCTCTTCCATCCTCTCTCTTCCCAGGGTGACCGGGGACTGACAGGGATCCAGGGTGAGACTGGAGAAAAAGTAAGTGCAGTCTGGGACTCTTGGGCCAATGAGGATCTGGGATCAGACTTAGCTCTGATACCTCTTCTATTCCATCAGGGTGAACGGGGACTTCCTGGCCCAGTGGGACCCCAGGTAAGCCCACTGACCTCAGTGCCAGTGCCAACTTACCTATGAACTCTGTGCCCCCTCCTGATTCTGACTTCTTTCCCTTGATGTCTGCTGATCCTGTCATCCACCCATCTTTACCTGATTCTTGTTTGTTTGTTTTGTTTTTTGGTGCTGGGGAGTGAACCCAGGGCCTTGTGCATGCAAGGCAAGCACTCTACCAACTGAGCTATATCCCCAGCCCCTTTACCCAATTCTTAATCCCCACTAATGCAGACTCTAGTCCTCAAACCCAGGGACCTGAATTTTAACCTTCTGACCTTACTGTACTGACCTCGACTTTTATGACCTGGTCTCTGCCCTCCAGCCAAGTTTGGTTCCTGCTACCTAAATCTCAGTTCTCAACAACCCCTCTTCAGTTCTGACCCCCAGTCTCTACCCACTGTTTACTCATGATCCCCTTGCTCCCCACCCCACTACCTGGAGCAGCAATTCTATTCCTCTTCCCCAGGGACTGCCTGGGATTGCTGGACGTCCTGGAGCTGAGGGTCCTGAAGTGAGTCTATGGCTGGTGGGATGAGGTGTGGGACTTTTGTGTGGTCTTCCCCTCCTACTTTCCACTTGAGTTCATATTTTCTTCACATACAGGGACCACCAGGACCCACTGGCCGCCGTGGAGAGAAGGTGAGTTGTGGGCTGGGTGTTGTACCTCCTGGCATCAGGATGTGGCAGGTGGGACACTGGAAACTTGGGTTCTTAGGTAGATCTCTAACCTGTCCCTGCCCCTATACTCTCTTCTCAGGGAGAGCCTGGTCGCCCTGGGGACCCTGTAGTAGTGGTGAGTGTGGGAAGGATGGGGTTTTGAGCCCAGCACATCCCTGGAGCAGTGACCTATAAACAATACTATGTGACTCTATAACCCTGGATTCCTGGGCAGGCTCAGAAGTCTGTGACTTTTTTTATGCTATAACCTGCTTCCAGACTCCTGATTGTGATCCTCTGAACCTTTAACCACCATACTGGTCACAAACTTTGTGTTATCCCATTTTGTATAACCCCCCTGCTCTCAGTGGTGACCCTGAGACCTCTGGGCAAAGACTGCTCTATGATTTCCAGTTATATAAACCCATTCCAATCAAGATTTTGATCCTTTGAACTCCAGGTGGGGTCAAGTAATATCTATACTGTTTGTTTTTAGGGACCTACTGGTGTGGGAGCCAAAGGAGAAAAGGTACATCTGGTGAGGGGAGGGGAGGTTGTTACATGGTTGATGTCAAGGTCATAGGACTCTGGGCCTACCTGAAGGTCACAAGAGTTGAAGCATGATTGTTGGATTGTAGAGATACCTGGACTCTGGGACCAACACTGATGGTCTTTGTTACTTTCAGGGAGATATGGGGCCTACTGGACCCAAAGGAGCTGCTGGAGTAAAAGGGGAACAGGTGAGAGAAGGGAAAGTATTTAGGGGTGGGTCAGGTGAAGAGTGTACCCTACTGACTTCTGATCTTTCCACCCACAGGGTCCACCAGGGTTGGTTCTTCCTGGAGACCCTGGCCCCAAGGGAGATCGTGGAGACCGGGTGAATAAATGTGGGGATGGGGGTGTGTGACAAAGGGAGAAGAGGTGGTACCTGAGAACACTAAGTTTTGTCCCCCTTCCCACATCCTCAGGGTCCCATTGGTCTCACTGGAAGAGCAGGACCTCCAGTGAGTATCTATGATCTTGGGTACCCTCAAGGTTTCTGGGGTCACTTCTTTAAAGGCTGTCTGCTGCATACATTCTTCATCACCTCACTCTTGTCTCCCTATAGGGTGACTCAGGTCCTCCTGGAGAGAAGGGAGACTCTGGGCGGCCTGGCCCTCCTGGACCTATTGGCCTCCGAGGACGAGATGTAAGAGGCTGGAGTTGGGGGAGCCATGGAAGATACGGGGAAAAGGAATTTGCCAGCATCACTAGGGGTCTTGGATTGGGGCTGACTTTCATGTCTCACAGGGTGAAGTTGGAGAGAAAGGTGATGAAGGTCCCCCGGTAAGATTTCTCCCTACTGTGTTTTCTGATCCTTTACCCTTGAACTATGATCCCAAGGCCTGGGGACTCTGTCAGGTCATCCAACCTATTCCCTGCCTTCTGTCCAGTTGGTGCCCAAGAACTCTTTTCCCCAATTCCACTTCCACTTTTCTCTCTGTCACCAGGGTGAACCAGGTTTGCCTGGAAAAGCTGGTGAGCGTGGCCTTCGGGTGAGTCTTAGCAGGGAGAAGTAGGAGGGCTAATGGGAGAATCTATGGCATGAAGGTGATAGGGAGCACTGAGGGTGATGGAGGGTGATAAGAGACCCTTTAAGGAGAATGTGGCAATGGAAAGTGGTGATGGGAAAACCTGGGGCAGTATAGGGACTCTTGGGGGAAGATGCAAAATATTATGAAGGTTTGTCTCAGACCAGCTGTTTTTCTCAGGGGGCACCTGGACCCCGAGGTCCTGTGGGTGAGAAGGGAGACCAAGGAGATCCTGGAGAGGATGGACGAAACGTGAGTCTCAGCCTTTGACACCTTACCCTGACCTCAACCTTAACCCATCAACCATCCAGTCTCTAGCACCTGATTCTGCTGCTCCAACATTGCAATGTTAACCCTTATGATCTTTACTTTCTGTGACCCCTTATCACAATCCCCCAGTGGCCACCAGAACTCCATGAGTCCTCAAGGTTCCTCCAAATTACTACCTTCCCCAAGTGACCCTGACATTCTGGCTCTCTGCAGGGCAGCCCTGGACCATCTGGACCCAAGGGTGACCGTGGGGAGCCGGTGAGTTGTGCTGGCCCTGGGCTCAGGTGGGATGAAAATTTCCCGGGTGCCATTGCCAATTTATTAGTCAGAATCTGTGCCAGGAGCCTGGAGGTCGCTGATGACTTTCTGGGAGTTAGTACTGGGGTATTTCTTCAAGGAATTTGGGTGCAGAGTTGAACCTGGGGCAAACCTGAACCATGCCCTGGGACCTCAGGGCTCTTGTTCACTATGATCATTTCCTTTTCCAGGGTCCCCCAGGACCTTCTGGAAGGCCGGTAGGCACTGAGCTGCGTTTGTTTTTTTTGTTATCTCCTGTACCTGCCCCTGTTGACTTCATACTGTGTCTTGTTACCTTTTCTATTTCCTCTATGCCCCCCCCCCGACACTTCCATTGACCCTCAGTCCCTACTAACCCCATTGTCCCTCTCTAACTCCTGTTTCCCCTCATTGAAGCATTCTTCTCACTGTCCACAGGTGGACATAGAACTTGGAGCCAGAGAGAAGGTACTGGGGGTCTGTGGGGTAGAGTGAAGCTATGAGTCTATAAAGGATCTCAGTACCCCACATGATATCTTTTATCTTTGTGATTCAAGGACTAGTTCCTTAGCAAGCTTGTCTCTGCCACAGGGAGAGCCTGGGGACCGTGGCCAGGAGGGTCCTCAAGGACCGAAGGGTGATCCTGGGCCACCTGGAGCTCCTGGGGAGAGGGTGAGTGTGGTTGGTCCTTTGGTGGGGGCTGCCCTGGGGAAGCATGCTCTGATTCTTTTTCCCTCTCTCCGCAGGGCATTGATGGGCCTCGGGGTCCCCAGGGTCCACAGGTGAGTGCTAAATTTTGAGGGCAGCCTCAAACTCATCTTGTCTTTACATCTTTTTAAAAATTTCTTTGTAGTTGTAGGTGGACAGCATGCCTTTATTTTGTTTATTTATTTATTTTTTAATGCAGTGCTAAGGATCAAACCTAGTGCTTCACACATGCTAGGCAAACTCTCTTCCACTGGGCTTCAGTCCCAGCCCTTGTCCTTACCTCTTTTTTAAAAAAAATATTTTTAGTTGTAGATGGACACAATGCCTTTTTTCTATTTATTTGTTTTTATGTGGTGCTGAGGATCGAATCCCATTCCTCACAATGCTAGGCAAGTGCTCTACCACTGAGCCAACCCCAACCCTTGTCCTTACTTCTTATATGACCTTGTTCCCTCTAGGGGGACCCAGGTGTCCGAGGCCCAACAGGAGAAAAGGTGAGAGAGTATAGTTTTGGGGAGGTGTGCCTGACTCCAAGATCCATATCAGTCTTGGATGCTTCTTACCACTCTCTTTTCCTCAGGGTGACCGGGGCCCCTCTGGACTGGATGGCCGGAATGGGCTGGATGGGAAACCAGGAGCTCCTGGTCCCCCTGGGCTGCATGTGAGTCATGGTAGTCACTGCTGGTCATCCCCTTCCTGTACCTCCTCCTAAGAGGGCCCAAAACCTGTGTCTCATCTGGCTGGTCTTGGCCTTGAAGTTTGAGGATGGGCATGCTACTGACATGCAGGCTTTGAGTTCATAGAAATTGGTGCCCTGTTGGTGGACAGGGCCCCTGACCCCATGATCCTGACTTTGAGTCTTTCCCCAGGGTGCTGCAGGAAAAGCTGGGGACCCAGGGAGAGATGTAAGTGAGGGGAAATTTTGGGGTGGAGGGTGGCTCAGGGGTCCAGCATGAACCACAGCCAGGTCCATCATAATCATAGCATCAGTAAGAGTGAAGGCAGTTGGTTCTTCCTTCTCCTTGGGAGGGGTCTGAGTCCCTGGCCTGAAGGTTTTAATAGAGTCCCCCTTTCTGATCTTCTTTGCCTTGAGGATCTTAATAGGTCCTCTAGCTTTGGGGGATTATTTTCTTGGGAGTCTCAGCAGCAGGAGTGCCCTTAACCCATAGGATCCCAAAGGGACCTCCCAATCCTTGGTGTTTCTACACTGGAGTAGGATTTTAGTGTATCCTTCAGTCCATGGGGGTGTGTCTCTAGGTATATCTGAGGCCCTCTCAAACCTAACCAAGATTTTTTTAGGGACTTCCTGGCCTCCGAGGAGAACAAGGCCCACCTGGTCCCCCAGGACCCCCTGGAGCACTGGTAAGTCCAGGCCTTCATGCTGTCCTTTTGCCTACTTCCTATCCTCTCCTGAGCCCTGACATCTGATAGATGATCTCTTTCCACAGGGAAAGCCAGGCGAGGATGGCAAACCTGGCCTGAATGGGAAAAATGTGAGTGTGTCCAGACAGCCAGGGCAAAACCTGCTAAGGAACCCCAGCACATGCACATAGCCCAAATATGCAGACAACTTCATGAAGCATATGTGCTAACACATGTAGACACCTACCAACCCCTGAAAACCTAGCCAAGGTGTGAAGACATATCCTGTAACACAGTTCTAAGTGCACATACGGCAACTTCATAGATGAATGTATCAACTTGGGTCCAAGGTAACCCACAGCCATGGGCATAGACAAAGAACCAGACACAAATTGACAGGTATAGACATGCTGGCATGAAGCCTTATTCAGTGACATATAGGGACATATTCATATATAGACACTTTCACCTGGACTCAGATATATGTTAAGAAATGGACTTAGGACTACATGTGGACTTACATTGAGACCTAGTAAAACACATACCCTTGACTCTGTCATTTGACATATTTGCTGATACATACATTTATATCCATAGTCATCCACATACATTTGATCATACACATTGAAATACAAGACTTGTAGACAGATGCCAAGACACATGGTTCTCAAGGCACTGGGGACCCAGTTATACATGTATAAGCCCATGCCCAAGTGCAGACATGGGCCAAGATGTGCAGACAGAGTGAGTCACAAAATCACTTCTGTGACACAGAGACTCATGGATACACCTGTTAAGATATACATGGATGCATACACTACTGGGTCACGTGGATTATCACCAAACCAGATGCATAGTGGAGTGTCATCTTAAAAGCCAGAAAAGAGTGTGTGTTGGGTAGGGGGTATGGTGAGGGACTGATCAGGCTGGGGGACATGAAGGTGAGCAGGCCCATGCAGGTCACCCTTAGTCTTGCAGTGGCTTACTCAGTTGGGTCCAGGCCACACTTCAAGACAAAAACAGCCATTGGAAGTAGAGGCACAGACAGTCATAGTCATCTGAAATCTGCCAAGACAGTGTGTTGTCTCCAGATACTGGTGATTATTTGAGCTAATATGAGTCCTCTGCCCACAGGGAGAACCTGGGGACCCTGGAGAAGATGGGAGGAAGGTAAAGCCCCTCCCCTGGGGTCTCCTGTGGCTTTGGATTGGGCCATGTCTGAAAAACCCCTGTCTTCCTTAGGGAGAGAAGGGAGATTCAGGCTCCCCAGGGAGAGAAGTAAGTGCTGGAATTTTCTGTAACCTCTGATCTTACATCCTGACTCTGTGAGATATGACTCCATTCTTTCCTGGGACCTCAGTGTTCTGATGCTGACTGCATCCTTCACAGGGTCATGAGGGCCCCAAGGGTGAACGTGGMGCTCCTGGTATCCCTGGGCTCCAGGGCCCTCCAGGTCTTCCAGGGCAGGTGGGCCCTCCTGGCCAGGTGAGTGTTCAGAGTAGTTCTGGAACTTGGGAGAAACAGAGGCCATTATGTTTCTTGAGATACCTCCCAGGATGCCATGATCCTATGTGTTCCTTTTGTATTCTGTCATATCTTAGGGTTTTCCTGGTGTCCCAGGAAGTGTCGGCCTCAAGGTGAGTGTGTGAGTTGGGTAGTAGGTATGGTGAGGACCTGATCAGATTGGGGGACATTTTCCTCACCTAATCATTCTTTGTTTTCAGGGTGATCGTGGGGAGACTGGATCCAAAGGGGAACAGGTGAGGCCCCACCTTTTTCATTTGCCTAAGTAGCTATAGAGCCACATATTCACACATGCCTCATAAACTGGATCCTAGCAGCCTGTCTCTTGATCCCTCCAGGGCCTGCCTGGAGAGCGTGGCCTGAGAGGAGAACCTGGGAGTGTCCCGGTGAGCTGACTTTGGGACCTGGCCCTTAACACTCATTTGCATGCCCATAATGACAACCTTTCCATCTTCTTCCCCTTGCTATGAGGCTCCACAGGTTCTCTGTGCTTTGTCCCCTGCCCCATTGGGATTTTTATAATTTATACTCAAGGGAACCTGGGCAATGGGGACATGCCAGAGAGGGGCCCCAAGTGGGTCTCAAWAAGACTGAAAATATGCTTGGCAAGAGGCCAGGACAAGAGGAGGCTCTTTGTGGGGGCAGTATGAAGCAGGAGGCAGGAGCTTCTTTTCTGTGTGTAGTCCCTCACCAACCTTGTATTCCTAGAATGTGGAGCGATTTCTGGAAACTGTTGGCATCAAGGTAAGCTGTTTAGGGGCTGGGGTGGGAACAGGTGGGGGTCTCATGCTGCAAGTAGTGCCCACAAGGCCCAAGGGGTAGGTGGTGGCAGTTACGGGCCCTGCTCCTCTTAACCCTTAGACATCTGCCTTGCGGGAGATTGTGGAGTCTTGGGATGAGAGTTCTGGTGGCTTCCTGCCTATGACTGAACGGCGCCGTGGCCCTAAAGGGGACCCAGGCGAGCGGGGTCCCCCAGGCAAGGAGGTAAGTGGTGGCTTAGTATGTATGCCCTGTGGGAAGCATAGTTGTACACCCACCAGCATTCATCTTCTGCTCCTCCAGGGCTCCATTGGTTTTCCTGGAGAACGAGGGCTAAAGGGAGATCGTGGAGACCCTGGCCCTCAGGGGCCACCTGGCCTGGCCCTTGGGGAGAGAGGCCCCCCTGGACCTCCTGGCCTTGCCGGGGAGCCTGGAAAACCTGGAATTCCTGGGCTCCCAGGTCGGGCTGGGGGTGAGGGGGAGGCAGGAAGGCCAGGAGAGAGGGTGAGCCTGGGGACTGTCTGGGAGGGCCAGGGGTGTGGGGTTGAGGGGRGTGTTGGATTCTCATGGACATAACCCTCAACCTGCTGTTTGCACTTCAGGGAGAACGGGGAGAGAAAGGAGAACGTGGAGAGCAGGTAAGCCAGATGGGGCCCTGTGAGGTAGAGCTTCCTGGAGCATGTGCTGGCAAAACCTCCCCATTTTCTTCTTTTCTGCAGGGCAGAGATGGCCTCCCTGGCCTCCCTGGACCCCCTGGTCCTCCTGGTCCCAAGGTGATTACCTCAGCCCTGCCCAAGGCCTGTGACTGTTGTGACTGGTGACCAGGAGGCCACCCTTAGCTTGGGCCCCAGAAATCCATGTGGTGTCTCTGACTTTATAACCTTCTGTGATCCTGTGACCCATCATGACACTTCTATGTCTTTCTCTCCCCTGTAACCTTGTGCTTGTAGGTGACTATAGATGGACTCACCAGAGAACAAGGGCCCCCTGGACTCAAGGGTGCCAAGGTCAGTGTGGGATCAGCCTGGGGACCCCCATTTGCAAAGTCTATAAGAACTGACTTGACTTCACATCCCCACAGGGAGAGCCAGGCAGCGATGGTGACCGAGGCCCCAAAGGAGACAGGGTGAGGTCTTCTATCACACTGTATTTCCCCCTCCTTTATGTGGCATACTAGGGGTGGTATTGTGTATGTACATGGGCACATGGCAGGGACTGGGGGTTCAGGACATGATATTATGCTTGCAGGGTGTGCCAGGCATCAAGGGAGATCGGGGAGAACCTGGTCAGAGAGGTCATGATGGCAACCCAGTAAGTCCTTGCCCCATGGACCACTTGTATGAAAGAATGGGCTCTTACATGTTTTGTCCTATATTCAAAGTTGGAGTCAGCACTACCTGGACTATTTGGCTCCTGCTTCTGGCTGCATAGGGAGTGATGGATTCAGGGAGAAGCTGAGGTCAGGGCACAAGAACAGTGTAGCCTTAGACCTTTTCTCTTTAGGGTCTACCAGGAGAGCGTGGTGTAGCTGGGCCTGAAGGAAAGCTGGTGAGTGGTGGCAAGAGCAGCTTGCGCAGACTCTGGTATTCTGCTGTGTGTGTGTGTGTGTGTGTGTGTGTGTACATGTACATGCACATGCGCGCATGTACACACAGGACCATGTGTGCTATCTGAAGGGCAGTTTGTGAATACACAGTGATCTGTCTCTGGGAGGGTGGGGGCATGGAAATGGGCCTCTAAGCAAAGATCCCCAGGGGGTGGGAATGGCCCAAGTGAGGCCTTGATTGAGGCTCATTATCTTCTTCTCTATGCAGGGTTTGCAGGGTCCGAGGGGGGCCCCTGGCCCAGCAGTGAGTACTGAATTCTTTACTTTTCTGCCCCATCCTGTGCCCAACCCCATGAACAGTTCTGCCTAGTTTCCCTGGTGGGGTGGGGCTGGCTTTCTTCATCTGACTGTTTCTAACAGGGTGGCCATGGAGACCCTGGACCGCCTGGTGTCCCAGTGAGTGATGGGGGAGCACTAAATGGTGGGAGTATGGGAGGGATAGGATAGGCATCAGTCTGCTGTTGAACCACACCTTGTTTATGGGAATCCCTGAACCCAGGCAAACAATGTTAATCCCTGTTCCCTGCCTTGACACTTTTCTCTAGGGTCTTGCTGGCCCTGCTGGACCCCAAGGACCTTCTGGACTGAAGGTGAGTATAGGTATGTGGGAGTATGTGGATGGTGGAGGAGGGGGATCCTTCAAGCCTTGTCTACACCCAGAATAAGCTCTGCTAGCTTCTGGAGTATCATTCCTGGTGATTATGCTAAGCACCAGGAGTTCCTCTGTGGGCTCTGTTCATATGCTTTTTGGGTCTTTTGCAGGGAGAGCCTGGAGAGACAGGACCCCCAGGACGGGTGAGTGACCCAACTCATAGGGTAAGGTCACAGGGAAATGGGTGGAAGTGGCACTTCCTTGAACTTTTTCTTCCTCTAGGGCCTGCCTGGACCTACTGGAGCTGTGGGACTTCCTGGCCCCCCTGGCCCTTCAGGCCTTGTGGTGAGTGATCTGTGGCTCTTTCAGGGATACTGTGTTCCTACATACTGGGTTCTATGTTCTCCCATGTCTTCCTTTGTCTTTTGCCCTGTGTCATCCATCCCCATATTTGTTTCCCCTCAGGGTCCTCAGGGGTCACCAGGTTTGCCTGGACAAGTGGTAAGTCATAGAGGTAAGGGTCTGATTTCAGGGGTCAGGGGTCAACCATCAGGCCCCTAACTAAGTTCCTCCCTCTCAGGGGGAGACAGGGAAGCCAGGACCCCCAGGTCGTGATGGTGCCAGTGGAAAGGATGGAGACAGAGGAAGCCCTGGTGTACCAGTATGTGTTCTGGGGGTTGCTCATAGCAGGCTTATCATAGGGCCCTGTGCCCAGCTGTGTGCTTGGATATGAGGAGTGGGGCAGTAGGAACAGAATGGTGGAGAGGCTCTGAGTTACGCTTACTGCTCTGTTCCAGGGATCGCCAGGTCTGCCTGGCCCTGTTGGACCTAAAGGAGAACCTGGACCCATGGGGACCCCTGGACAGGTGACCTTTGACCCTGACCTCTACCTATTGCACCAACTCCTCTGCTTCACCCCAAGCCTCAGTTTCCACATTCCATTCATGATGGCAGGGTAGGGTTGTGGAGGATGGGTGGCTAGGCAACTCACTGGGTATTTCCCACAGATGGTAGTTGGACCCCCTGGAGCAAAGGGAGAGAAGGTGAGTGTACTAGGGTCCTGGAAGGGAGGACCAAGAAGGCATGCCAAGGAACCCCACTGACACCTCTTCTTCATCAGGGAGCCCCGGGAGGCCTTGCTGGAGACCTGGTGGGTGAACCGGTAAGTGTGGCACCTCTGATAGCAAGGGGTCTTTGACCCATAGTTTACCCACCCTCATGACCCTCAACTTATATAATATGCCCCACATTTGACATCTTGCTTGTGCCTCCTTCCTTGAGTCTCATCTATCTGTAACTAATGCCTGAGTTGCTTTCTTATCCTTGTGTCTACAGGGGGCCAAAGGTGATCGAGGACTGCCAGGGCCAAGGGGTGAGAAGGTGAGTGGACCTGGTCTTAGGGTCTGAATRTTGGGCAGGGAGGCATAAGGCTGAGTGGCCCTAGACCTCACCACCACTTCTGTGCAGGGTGAAGCCGGCCGTGCAGGAGAACCTGGAGACCCTGGGGAAGATGTGAGTCTGGGGTCTGGGGTCTGGCAGGTCCAAGCTTGGCTTGAGTATAACTGTGGACATGTGGGATCATTCTTAGGCCAGTGCATATATCTGAATCCCTGGATCTGGCTTGAGGGGCTTGATGACTTCAGGAGCCTGCTTCTTGGGGCACCTTGGGGTCACATACTCTTAGCTTCCATACTCAAACTTCTGAGTTTGTGAGGCTGTCCCAGCTTGGCTTTAGTGTGCTTATTCTTTGTCTTTTATTCCTTACCATGTCTGAGCCCACATGTGTGTGCTCCTATCTGATCTAAGTCTCAGGACATAGCTGAGTTCTTGCCAGCCTTTCCTTGGACCTGTGTTTATAATCCTGTCTCCCACCCCCATCTGTCTGAGTACACATTTGTGGTCACATCTAAGCTTCCTGGGAGTAGACACAGTAGAGTTCCTGTCTGAGTTCCACATCTGTATTCTTTTATGTCTGCACTCGTGTGTGAGCTCCATGTGCCTTTGGTCATGCCTGAACTCCCACGTATCTGTGGTCCACATCTGAACTTCAGTTTATGTACTCATGAACCCATGGCAATGTCTGGACTTCTGTAAGCCAAGCCTTAGTTATAATCCTGAGTTTCCGTGGGTTCATGATCATATCTGAGCTCCCCTGGGAATGTTTTTGGCCCATGTCTAAGTTTGGTTTGTATATTCCTACCCTTTCAAGTGCTGTTTACTTTTTTTTTTTTTTCAGGGTCAAAAAGGGGCTCCAGGACTTAAAGGAAACAAGGTATATTTACCCAGAAGGATCCCTGCTGGGGGTCATGATCCTGAGACCCCATGATCCTGATATGACCTGTCTTTCCCTCAAAGGGTGACCCAGGAATTGGGGTCCAAGGGCTTCCTGGGCCAACTGGTCCTCCAGGTATGAAGGTAAGTCAGTATCCAATCACAGTGGCAGGGACAGTGGGCAAGGTAGCCTCTGGAGGTGGGAGAAAGAAGGAATTCTAGGACTAGTCCCAGAAAGGTGTCCCATATAACCCCTTCTCCATTTGCTCTCTCTCCTTCAGGGAGACCTGGGCCCTCCTGGTAATCCTGGTGCTCCTGGTGTTGTTGGGTTTCCTGGTCAGACAGGCCCTCGAGGAGAGATAGGCCAGCCAGGCCCCAGTGGAGAACGGGTGAGTGGCTGGGAACACATGGGGGCTTGATGACTAATTTTTAAAAAATTCTAATTAATTATACATGACAGTGGAATGCATTTGACACATTGTACACAAATGGAGCATAACTTCTCATTCTTCTGGCTGTAATGGTGCTGAGTCACATCAAAAGTATAATCATACATGTATATAGGGTAATAATGTCTGTCTCATTCTACTGTTTTTCCCATCCCTACCACCCCACCCCTCCCTTTACTCCCCTCTGCACAATCCAAAGTTCTTTCATTCTATCCTTCCCCTCCCTGTCACCATGGATCAACATCTGCTTATCAGAAAAAAATATTTGGCCTTTGGTTTTTTGAGATTGGCTTATTTCACTTAGCATGATATTCTCTACTTCCATCCATTTACATGCAAATGCCATAATTTCAATTATTCTTTAAGGCTTAGTAATATTTCATTGTGTATATGTACCACATTTTCTTTATCCATTCATCTGTGGAAGGGCATCTAGGTTGGTTTTATAGGTCAGCTTTGTGAATTGAGCTGCTATAAACATTGAAGTCACTGCATCACTGTAGTATGCTGCTTTTAAGTCCTTTGGGTATAAACCTAGGGATTGATACCTGGGTCATATAGTGGTTCCATTCCATGACTTGATGACTTCAAGACTTCTAAATCTAGTGGTGGGTGAGGAGGAGGGAAACCAAACCCTGTCTTAGGGGCTCCTCACTTGAGAAGAAGAGAAAGAAGGTTCTTAAGTTACTTTCTGCCTTTCTTGCCCCGTTTTCCTGTAGGGTCTGGCAGGCCTCCCAGGAAGAGAAGGTCCCCCAGGCCCCTTGGGACCACCTGGACCACCAGGGTCAGCGGTGAGTAGAAGTGCCCCAATGCCCCATGAGTCTGTCCACATGAGAACTTATAATGGGGATAGACCACACTGTAGGGCTGGGTATGTGTGGGCTTTAAGGACCATAGGACCTTTACCTTATTCTGACCCACAGGGAGTGCCTGGAGCCTCTGGACTGAAAGGAGACAAGGTAGGTGGAATGCTACCTTGGCTTYAGTGTGCTTATTCTTTGTCCCTCTCTCTTTGCCTGTCCCCAAGCTGTCTCCTCACTAGTCCCCTCAAATCCTCATAGCTTATGGTCATCTTCTTTTTCCTATGCTCTAGTCACCTCCAACCTCCAACCTCCACTAATCTCCCATGGCCCTCTGTCCCCCACTGAGTCCCCTCACTTATCCAGGATATTCTGTTGATCTTCAGGGAGACCCTGGAGCAGGGCTTCCTGGGCCCCGAGGCGAGCGTGGCGAGCCAGGTATCCGGGTATGTATGTCTTCTCATAGCCAGGCCCACTGCCAGAAAGGCAGACAATGACTCCTTCATGACCACTCTTGCCTTGAATTTCCAACCCCTGAGTCAATTAACTTAATGTCACCATCCAGGGTGAAGACGGCCACCCTGGTCAGGAGGGACCCCGAGGACTCATGGTGGGTTCCTTTGGGGAAAATGCCAGGAGTATGACTTCAGTACCCTGACTGTCCCCTATATGCCCTTGGGATACTCTCTGCAGTCCACCCCAGCCTTCTAATTCTCCTTGTCTGCTCTAGCTCTCTGTTTCCTTCATCCCCCGCTCTGTCCCTCTCTCTTTGCCTGTCCCTGAGCTGTCTCCTCACTAGTCCCCTCAAATCCTCATAGCTTATGGTCATCTTCCTTCATGTAGGGGCCCCCAGGCATCCGGGGGGACAGAGGAGAGAAGGTAAGAATGTGGGTAAAATGCCCCTGTGGTGAGTGAGGTGGGGCATATAATTCAGGACTAAAGGCTCCTCAGCTTGAATGAGATTCACATTGTTTTACCCAATAGGGTGATGCTGGAACTGCAGGGCTAAAGGGTGACAAGGTGAGTGTGGGCATGGGGGATGGGAAGAGCAAGAGATTGGGGTGCTCTTGACTCTGTTAACTACTCTCTGCCTTCTCAGGGTGACTCAGCTGTGATCGTGGGGCCTCCAGGGCCACGGGGTGCCAAGGGGGACATGGTGAGTGAGTCTTGTTCCTGTGCAGATTGGGTTTTCCTTAGTGTGACAGAGAATCCTGTGGCGATAAAAAGCTCAAAGGTCTCAAGCTCTGACCCTCATTTCTAATTTCTGACCCAGGGTGAACGAGGGCCTCAGGGCATAGATGGTGACAAAGGACCTCGGGGAGACAATGGAAACCCTGGTGACAAGGTACAGGGAAGAGGGTGGGTATACTGTATGGATCCCTGAAGGGTATGGGGATTCCATAGTGGGTCTGTGAGTGTAGGAGGGGTCTTTCTGGGGATTAGGGGCAGGGCTTCTGTAGGCTGTAGTGACTTGAGAGAATGGGGATAGAGGGAGGGCTTAGGGCCTTAATGTAAGAAGTTGGGTAGACTGTGGCTCTATGAAGTTCCTAAAAGCGGGCTCCTTGGGTATTAGGGTAGTCCAGATGGGATTAAGGGCCTAGCGTAAGAGGGAAAGGCAGGAGTCTGGGGTCCCAGATCAATAAATGAGTTGTTGAATCCTGGGTAGAAGGGAGGGAGCCACTGGGGTCARTGGGAGCGACACTGAGAAACCCTGCCCTAACTTGGAGGCGCCAGTCATCCTCCAGCCTGGTATGGTCCTGACTGTTCCTCTCCTGGTCCCTCCCACAGGGCACCAAGGGGGAGCCTGGTGACAAGGGCTCCACTGGGTCAACGGGAGCTCGAGGACTCATAGGACCTAAGGTAAACTTTGCACTAGAGTCAAACACACATTACGCACACCTGTCCCTGGGTGTCTCCTAAGTGTTGTAGGGATCCTCGTTCCCTCGCTGGTGGCCACATGAGTGTTAACACAAGATTTCTGGCCTCAGGGGTGCCAAGTAGCTGCAACAGATAGGCCAGCATGAAGAAGGGTCACATTGAAGGTTTCTCCCATAATGTTTCCTGTAGGGTGAGCCTGGTGTTGCAGGGATCCCTGGTGACCCGGTAAGTGCTTCCACTCCCACAGAGACCTCCTGTGGGAACTCCATCTCCATGGTGGTCTCACTCATGTAGCTTTTGACCTTATGGTGACCAATGTCTCAAGATGTCTTCCTGGGGCTGGGGATGTGGCTCAAGCTGTAGCGCGCTTGCCTGGCATGTGTGCGGCCCGGGTTAAATCCTCAGCACCATATACAAACAAAGATGTTGTGTCCGCCGAAAACTAAAAATAAATATTAAAATTATAAAAAAAAAAGATGTCTTCCTGTTGCCCAGGGGACCTGCCTCCATAGTAATCCCCTATGATGGTTTTGCCTGCCCAAAGTGACTCTTCCCCATGCCAAATTTTTCCCTTCCCATGCTGCTGGCCTCCACAGTGATTGTCACCTTATGGTGTTCCCTGCTGCAACTCTTCACTAATTTCCTTTGACCTCATGTCTACACCTTACCCCCACCCCAGGGAGCCCCAGGAAAGGATGGAGCACCTGGTTTCCGAGGAGACAAAGGAGATACTGGCTTCATGGGCCCCAGGGGCATCAAGGTGGGAAGGGGATCAGGTTTTTTGTTTTGTTCTGTTCTTCTTGTCAGGAAGGCTGGATACTGGAGGGTGAGGAAGCTGAGGTCAGATGTTAGGGTGTCCAGGGATGAATGTTGGGTGTTAGGTCAGATGTTGGAATATCTAAACTCTGTTGGGGGAGTTAGTTTTGGGGTGAAGAGCTCATATGGTGAAGTACCTGGAAGTTTCTTTCTCACCTGCTTTTTGCCCTTAGGGTGAACGGGGGATGAAGGGAGCCTGTGGCCTTGATGGAGAGAAGGGAGACAAGGTACAGAGGTAAAAGTGAGTGTGGGGACCATGATATCTGGTACCCAAGACTGACCCCAAACCTGATGCCTGTAGGGAGAAGCTGGTCTTCCTGGCCGTCCAGGGCTGGTAGGACGAAAAGGAGAGATGGTGAGTATGAGGAACACCCAGAATGAGGAGGACCAGGTGGGCCAGGTGGGATACGGCTGGGCCAGGGTCTAAGCTCTATTTTCTTTTCTCCAGGGGGAGCCTGGTGTGCCAGGCCAGTCTGGGGCTCCTGGCAAAGAGGGCCTGATTGGTCCCAAGGTACAGGATCTCTTGAGTGGTCATGATGGGGAGTCAGGATGGGGCAAGGAAAGCTACAATAGGGTGATGAGGGTTTAAGGTCAAGGAAGGTTGTAGAGGGTTTAGGTGTTGGGGGATGGTGTGGGGCTAGTCATGAGATTTCAGGATGGGCAAGGATCACAGTGGAGAGTTAAGATGAAAAGGTGAAACATGGAGCAGAGGTTCATGTATATCAGGGTGGTGGGTTATAGAGGGGTTGGTGTCATAGGGATCACAGCTGGTAGTCACAGATGCTCAGATCATGGAAGGTTGTAAGCATTGAGCCTGGGGACTCATGGGAGTTTGGGGAGGTTCAGGATCTGAGGGAGATCAAGGCAAAGTGTCTCTTATGTTTCTTCTGTTCCCAGGGTGACCGAGGCTTTGATGGACAGTTAGGACCCAAGGGTGACCAGGGTGAGAAAGGAGAGCGGGTAAGTCAAGGTCAAGATCATGGTAAACTGAGGAGAGCATGCTCTTTGGGAGTGAGTTCATCTTTCAAGATTTTTATTACTGACCCTATCCCATCTCTCTTCAGGGATCCCCAGGAATTGTGGGCTTTCCAGGTCCTAGGGGCAATGATGGTGCTAGTGGTCCCCCAGGGCCACCTGGTGGTGTTGGTCCCAAAGGCCCTGAAGGACTTCAGGGTCAGAAAGTAAGAGTTCTTGACTGAATTCTCTGACTCCTAAGCTCTGAACCTCCCTACCCTTTTGTTTTTGGTATGGGGGAGTGGTGCTAGGGATTGAATCCAGGGCTTCACATATATTAGGCAAGTACCCTACCTCTGAGCTACATTTTTAACCCTCCCTACATTTCCTACCTCTCTGACTTCTGACTTTGCAACCCATTCCCCAGTCTCCTTGCCCCAACATCTGAAGCTGTGATCCCAAATTTGCCTGTTTTCTGACCCTTACCAACTCTGGTCTTGCTCACTTGATCCTTGTGTCTGGCAGGGTGAGCGAGGTCCCCCTGGAGAGAGTGTGGTGGGGGCCCCTGGGGCTCCTGGGACCCCTGGTGAGAGAGGAGAGCAGGTAAGTGGGATTTCTAGGCTCAAGGTAAAAGATTGGGGTGACCCTGATGTCCCTGAACCTGAGGTCACAGCCTATTCTTATCTGTTGCACATAGGGGCGGCCAGGGCCCATTGGTCCCCGTGGAGAGAAGGGAGAAGCTGCATTGACAGTAAGTGTGGGTGTATGTGGGCTAGGGCTCTGTCTACACACCTAACACCCTGAGCCCCTGGACCCTAGGCTCCTGACTCTTTTTGACCCCTGCATTATGTGCCTGATGTCACTTCTGTGATTCATGGGTTCTTCATGGTTCCTTGTGGTCTTGTCTCCAGGAGGATGACATTCGGGGCTTTGTGCGTCAGGAGATGAATCAGCATTGTGGTGAGTGAGCCTAGCCTGGAGTCTCTGGTACCCTGTCCCACTCTGTCCCAGAATACCTAGATAGGGGCTGATAGGTCCCTAATACTTATAGGAGGCAAGTGTCAAAGAGATGAGTTGAGATGGATAGATATTCAGAAGGGCACACATACTGTAGGACAGGATGCTGACAGAAATTCTCTCAATGATGAGAGATGCACAGCAGATGTAGGTAGCCACAAAGTTGAGGATTTCAGAGTCGCCATGTGTGGAGGGAATAGAGGAGAGAGCAGAGCTGGTCCCACTGGCTCTGACACAAGTCAGGCAGCGATGAATTTGGGAACATCAGAGTGAAGCTCTGCTCTTCCTCTCTTTCTCTTTGTAATTTTTTTTAATATTTATTTTTTTAGTTGTAGTTGGACACAATACCTTTATTTCACTTATTTATTTTTATGTGGTGCTGAGGATCGAACCCAGGGTCTCGCATGTGTGAGGCGAGCGCTCTACCACTGAGCCACAACCCCAGCTCTGTAATTTTTTGATTAATTCTTTTGTTTGTACTTTTTCCTCTTTTTTTTTTTGCAACTACATTTATTGTCTATGCCTACCTGTTTCTGTCTCCCTCTATTCTTGCCCTTTGTTGACCTTTTCCCAATTTCTCATTCCTGTCTACTTCTCCTTATCTTTCTTCCTCTTTCTCCTTCTTTTCACTCTCTCTCTCTTTGCCTCCTTCTCTCTATCCTTCTACCTATCATTCTCTCTATTGGTCCTTCTATCACTATCTCTCCTGCTGTTTCTCTGTATATCTCAATCTCCCTCTGTGTGTGTGTATATGTGTGTGTGTTTGTGTGTGTCTTCCCATCTTTCTTTTGTCTCTTTCTCCCTTTATCATTGTCTCTTTCTGCCCTTTTCAGCCTGCCAGGGACAGTTTATTGCATCTGGATCACGTGAGTAGTTTTCTGTGCCTAGAACTTTCTTCACCCTAGGTCCTGCCCTGTCTATCACCTGGGGAGTGGCTGGTATGGCCGCTCATGATGACCCCACATGTCATCACTTGTTCTTTGCTCCAGGACCCCTCCCTAGTTATGCTGCAGACACAGCTGGCACCCAGATGCACAGGCCAGTGCCTGTACTCCGTGTCTCCCATGTAGAAGAGGAAGGTGAGAATGACTGGACCATGGGGCATGTATGGATGGGACATGGACATGTATCTAGGTGCTCATGCATGCAGAGCACATGCCATGCACATAGGGTCCACATGCAGGGCGTATACATGGATACCCTTATGCGCACAGGGGGAGATTAGTGCTGCCCACACTACCCCAGGGCCAGCAGCTTCTCCCTCATGGTATATCCTACTGTGCTGTAGACCAAGTGCCCCCTGAAGATGACGAGTTCTCAGAATACTCTGAGTATTCTGTGGAGGAATACCAGGACCTTGAGGTTCCTTGGGATGGTGATGGTGAGAATGAGGGATGTGCCTAGAGGGGTTCAGGTAAGGGCAGGTGGAGCCATTCCCTGCTGGCCTCTCACTGATCCCCATTGAACCCAGACCCCTGCTCCCTGCCTCTGGATGAGGGCTCCTGTACTGCCTTCACCCTGCGCTGGTACCATCGGGCTGTGCCAGGCAGGACAAAGGCCTGTCACCCCTTTGTCTATGGTGGCTGTGGAGGGAATGCCAACCGTTTTGGAACTCGTGAAGCCTGTGAACGCCGCTGCCTGCCTCACGTGATCCAGAGCCAGAAAACAGGTAGAGGCTTAGCCCCACCTCAGCAGGGAACTGGGCCCTGAGGGTCAAGGTCATGAGTGAGAAGCTCCCTCAGACTGGGGGACCTGAGATGGACCCCCCAGATGAAAGAACTGAATACAGAATCTCAACTGTAGAATTCCCATTATGGTCCCTCTCCATGTTCCCTTCTTTAAAGACCTGAGTATGGGTTCTTCTCTGAGTCAGGGCCCCACCTACTGCTAGGCTTCTGGTCCCCACACCACTCCCTATCCCACCAGAAGATGTTTTGCCATGTTTCTCTGTGGTCTGCATACTGTGTAAGGAGGTCAGGGGCTGAAGACAGTCTCTAACCTGCCACACCCAGGTGCTGCCCAGAGTTGATGAGCTGCTGTTTAGTGTCCCCTGGAAGAATCTGGATCTCAACAGGTCCTGCTGTCCCTCCCCTTGGTGCTAGAGACCTCTGTGCACATGAGCGTGTGTGTGTGTGTGTGCATGTCCATTATTTCAGTGACTTGGTCCTGTGGGTCTAGCCTTTGTCCCTATGGACAAACCCCCATTGTGGCTCCTGCCTCCCTGGTGGATGACTCACCATGGGGGGTGGCTATGGGCAGTGAGCGGATGTGACTTGCGTCTGACCCACCCCTTGACCCAAGCCTGTGATGCCATGGTGCTGATTCTGGGGGGCATTAAAGCTGCTGTTTTAAAATGTCCTTGTTATGACTTCTTGGGGGTGATGTTGTGGGGGGCATATTTTCCCTTGGGGGAGTCAGTATTGCATGAATAAAGTCCTGCTGCACTGCCATGGTCATTTTCCTGTGACCCTCAGAAAGAAGCAGATAAAGATGTGTCCTTACTGCTTGCTAGGAGGGGATGAGTCATAGGTGGGGGCTGCCTCATGCCAGGAAACACCCACCTCCCACCACAGTGGGCTAGTGGAGATAAATGGGCCCAGAAGTGGAGCAGAGGGTCAGAACATAGGATAGCATCGCCTGATCCCAGCCCCAGCAGCCATAGACATCGCAACTTACCCCAGAGGAAGCTGTCAGTGGTAGGACTGGTGTTGGGTGGGGAGAGGTCTTGGGGGTTGAGTGGTCCTTGGGTTTAAGTTCATGGAGATATCTGGACCTGGGAGGGTCTGAGGTCTCCAGCTGCTTCTCTGCCTCAAGGATTCCCATTCCTACTACTTCTTCTTAAATCAGCTGTCTGTTTTTCTGACTCTGAATTTGTTTCTATCATGCTGTCTCTGGATGGTTTCTGTCTCTGTCTTTTCTTCCAGTCTCCTATTTTGCTCTGCCTTCATCTCATTCATCTCCCTTTCCTTCTCCTTTCCCCCCTCTTTTGTATTTTTGATTTCTCTCATTCCTCTTTTCAATCTTTCTGTCTGGGGGCCCCCCTTCTCTGTTTAGCTCTGTCTTGATTTACTCTAGCTTTCTTCTCATCCCTTCATCTTTGTCTCTGACTGACTTTCTCTCTGTTCCTGGCCTGGCCTCCCTGTCTGTCTCTTTGTCTCTTCCTCTCTCTCTCTCTCTGCTCTTGCCATCTGTCTCTGTCTGTTAACCATATTGACAGAGCCCCTTCCCTGAGCCTGTTTTCTCCTCACAGCCTGACCACATGATGACCAGGTGGGCTCCGCTGGTGCTGATGGTCCTGATGTTGGGCAGAGTCATGGTTGTTTCAGTGACCCCTATCCCAGCCTTCCAGATTCTTCCTCAGAACTATTCCCAGACCACTCCTTTCTCTGTGTCCTTGAAGAGCCCCTCAGCTACTGCCACAAGTCCCTCAGCTGCCTGGAGCTACTCAAGCCCTGTACCCCGCCTTGGACCACGTATCTCCCTCTCACTGGATGTCCCCATTGGCCTCCTACAGATTTTACTGGAGCAGGCCCGGGCCAGGGCTTCCAGGGAGCAGGCTGCAACCAATGCTCGCATCCTGGCTCACATTGGCCGCCGCTAAGCCTGAGAGACAGGGTTAAAATGATGGGGTTGGTCTGGATGGAAAAACATAGAGGATGGCAACAGAGCTGGATCTTACTACATCTGGGCAGAGTGCACTTGAACACCACTGTAATAGGCCACTGCCAAATAGTGTCTTATCCCATCTGAGTGTACCACAGTCAGGGGCTCTGGACACCTTGGACATTGTTGTATTGATGTCTTGCCATGCCTGTGTACTCTACAGACTTACAGTATGTTTGGAAAGTTTGAACAGTACCATACAAGGTCACTGCCAAGTACAATATTGCTATGTCTTGGTGCTCCACAGTCACAGGGCATCTGGACATTATTACATGGGGTAACCATCATGTTATATTCAGAAGCCTCAAAACAAGAGATGAACACTGCATCTGAGATCAGTCCATCTAAGGCCTACAGGTTTTTTCCCCCTCCTAGGCCACCACACATGGAAGTGCTGGCTGAAGTTTACATACATGTGTTCTGCTTCATGAGGCAGCTTCTATCCCAGATAGATACGACTGTACACAGAAAGTCTGACCATTGTGTCTTACCTTGTGGGTGTCTGTGCATGTGTGGCTGAGTCTCTATGTGCTGCCTTTTACAAACAAAGCTCTGACAGCTGAGAATGTGAGCAAGACGTGTGTGTGTGAGGGGTGTAAGGGAACAGGGAGGAGTGTGTACTTGTCCCTCAAACCTGCATGAAGCACACGTACCACATAACTGGGCATTGTCTTTCACATACCCAGTTTTGATTCTTGGAAACAAAGACTCAGAAGAGGCTGCTTAGTCTGCCAAGTTCCAATCTAACTCTATCCAGTCCTTACTGAATTATCCTGAGAAAAGGTGTTCTGTAAAGCAGAGTGATGCCACCAAGCTTCTTGGGAGCACTGAGTGACATAGTGTACGTGAAGGTTGTGGCTGCAAGAGGCACTCAATAAACAACAAGTGATTGAAGGATGAAATGGACAAGAATCACATAGTCATGTGCACCCATGCAGTGACGCAGGAGGGTTGAGTCACACCTAGCTTTTCTGTCCTTTTGTCCACCCTCCTTCATCACCCTCTTTTAACTGATTTGGTCCCTTAGTTTGGAAGTAGGTTTTGCCTATTTCACATCTTCTACTCCATTACTGACCTAGAGCTAGGACTGACTTCCTGGGTGTGAGGACAGGCCTGCCTGAGGATGGGGCAGGCACTCCAGGCAGGGTAGACAACTCCACCGAAAGACAAGGGCAGCTCTTGGGAAGTAAAGGCAGCTCTGACTGTAAAGAGGCAACACTGGCCAGCCAGAGTGTGGCTGCCGGCCTGGATGGGGCCCCCAGTGTCAACCTCACAGTACTAAGCAGCCCTGGCAGGCGGGCCCAGGGCCGCTGGAGAGGCGGGGCTACTGTACTCTGAGCCTGTCAGAGGGCGGGGTTGCCCTACTCTTCCCAAGCCGCAGGGGGCGGTGGCCCTGGTCAGTTCGGAGGCAGGATGGACAGAGGCACGTTAGGAGGCAGATCTCTGACCGACCCGGGGCTGGGGAGCAGCGGGCAGGGTAGGCACGGGGCAGTGTGGGGAGTGTGGGGGGAATGGGAAAAGACCTGGGCACAGCGAGGGTGGTACTGGAGGGGATATGAGAGTGTTGGGATTTTCCCCCTGGTTTAGGGGTGCTCCTAGGAGGCATCAGTCTGTCACTGGCCTGGAGGCAGGGAAACACTGTTGCCTTGCAGGGGAGAGGGGGCTGGGCCAAGGGGGAGCTATAAATAGTGTCTTCCTTTAGTCCAGGGTGGAGGGACAGCCAGCTGGAGCTGCCTGAGGCCCTCCCACTTTGCCCCGTGCTGGCCTCAAAGGGGTCATATTCTTCTACCTCCCTTTTAAGGGGTCATCTAATTTGGGGATGACTAGAGGCTCATTTGGGAAGTTTTTCATATGATGTGGCTTTAGCTATTAAACCAGCATTTCTAGGGCACCTACCATGTACTTGAGCTGGTCCTGAGCTTCTGAAAGCACCTACTGTGTATTCTGTTTTGCTCATGCCTCTCGGGGCCCTTTCTCTGTGCCCTGACTTGTCTCAAATTACTTTGAGCACCTACTGTGTGCCCTGTGCTGGAGTGGAATCAGGAAGTAAAGATCAGAGTTCATAAGCTGCTTCTTACATGGTTCTATACCTCCAAGTCAGACCCTCACACTCTGTGTGCTCTGGGCTACTGGGGACAGTCCCTTCTGGAAATGGCTAGAAGAGGCCAGGATTCCTAAGGATCTCCCCCCGCCCCCCCCAGCAATGGCAGCATTAGGTGGGGGAATAAAGAGGAAGGGAGGCAGCAGAGAGCAGCAGGCCCTGCTACAACTTGCCTGTCCCTATAGACATGCCTGGGTACAGGGCTTGTTGGTACGTGTGCTTCTGCATGTGCATATGCAAGCTTGTGTGCACTGGCGTGTGAGTCTGTATGGCATGCATTGAGCCTGCCTCCCATCCTCATGCTGCGAACGGTGGCATATTGGTTCCACCAGAATTCAGCAACAGAAAAAACAGACTAGAAAGAGTATGAGCCTTGAGAACTATGGGTTGAAGACTTTAGCCACACCCCACGGCTTCTGGCCTGTGACACTGGGAGGGGGTTTGGTGGTCAGTGCAGAGGGGGCACCCTGGGAGCCAACTGGAATCAGGTCAGTTATGTTCGTGGTGGGGAGAGGCTGAGCCAGACATGTTCACCTACGAGTACACAGTGATATCCCAGCAGGAAAGCTGGCACACTTTGGGATGCCCTGAGGAAGGAAAAGTCATGAGGACCAGTTATTTTATGGGGTACCTACTGATCCTGGGAGATGCAGAGAGCCAGGAGAGAATTTCAATGAAGTGAACAACCAAGAGCCTGGGTGTGGAGGTTCAGCAATAGTGTAAAGGTGTGGGAGGTGAGGTTTTGAAGGCTGGGAATTGAGCTAAGTTCTTCCTGCATTGTGGACTGGCTCTTGGACAATTTTCTACCTAAGAAATAAGGCCATGGGAGGGGAGATGGTGATTACCTTCAGAGTAGATGTAGACCTTGGCTTTGGGAAGGGCCCTAGACCCCGACRCTGACCTCCCAGATGAGTATATGGACATGGGAGGATGTGTCTGGGTCAGCCCAAGGTCAGCTGGGGGAGTGTGGGAGGTTACAGAGCTAAGGTGTTTCCTATGAATCAGGCYCATACTGTCTGGATGTAGAAATAGTCCTAGTTGCTTTGTCTTCCCTGGCTGTTTCCACTCCCTGCTCTCTACTAACATCCAGGAAGGCTACAGAAGAAGACAGTAGGCAGGCCTCAGGAGGTGCTGGGTGTTAGAGGAGACAGTCTCTACAATGAGTGTTGGACAGAGTATGGGTGTGTGGCAATGATGTTTCGTTAGCCAGGATTGCCCCAAGATGGCCTTGGCAGTGGCCAGGCTAAAGACAGGAGAGTTGGCTGTGTCAAGAATAGAATGAGTGGCTTTGGGGAACTAGGAAGCAGGTGAATGATCACAAGGGCCCTGGAGGGGAATGGGTGGTGGAAAATGCAGCTGGAGAATGAGGAAGGAGGAAATGGTGGACCCTGCTTCAGGCAGGGCATTTCCCAGAGTAGGCAGCTAGAGCTGGTTTCAGGCAAGGTCCAGGTAGGCTTCYAGCATTTAGACCTTCTGAACCTTCATTTCCTTAAGTAGGCAAGATGTTTGTTATCAGCCATCTCAAGTTATAGAAGGAGGTGCAGCATGAACTGACAATGAAGTCAGCTTTTTCTACATGCCCAGATCTTCTGGCTAGGTACACACTGGGCAGAGAACTTCAGTTTGCAGGGACCCTGCTAGGGATGTGATGGTGGACATCACTAGAGGGCAGTGTGATCCAGGTTCAAGCCATATTTGTGAGGGCTGGGGCAGAAAGTGTCCCAAATTTGGACAGGCAGGGTTGGCAATCATAGGAGGCAGAAGCCTGAAGGGGCTGGGCGGGTGCCAAACACATGAGAGTCCAGAAGGTTTCCCGAATTTCTGGATCTCTTCCTTGCCGCCTGTGCGTTTGCAAAGACAGGCAGGAGATAAATAATATACTGAATCAGAACACTAATTTGTTTTGGAACAGATTTCTCAGAATGATTTGACACATCACATTTAATCTACACCACAATCTCTTAAGATTAATGACCAGCGCACCCATTTTCCTGATGAAGAGGAAGAAGCTATTTATTTTTAAAATGCATAAACTTACSATGAAAATTTAATTGGTAAAAATGAAATCCTGGCAAGAGAATTAAGATGTGGCCAGGGTTTAGTGAATCCTCAAATAACTCAGTCACAAGATCCTGCGCATTTGCTCTAGGAGGGCAGGAGTTTAGTTTGTGCTCCCCAATTGCCAAAACCAAGAGAGAAACTCCATCGATCCTGAAATCTGTCATGTGTCTCTGTGCGTAGGATAAAGGAGCTCTTCCTGCGGCGAGGAGCAGGTTGGTTTTATGGACTGGGGAGAATCAAGGCTCGAGTCAGACTAGGTGGTTCAGCGCAGGACCAGGAGGGCGGGGCAATTAATGGCAGGGACAGCGGACCAGGGGTTGGAGTCACGCGGGAGCCGCCAGGCTTGTTCAGATTAACCCGGCCCTGCAGATCACGCAAGCCTCGCTGTACTGCGCGCAAACACTTCCCTCCTAGGGGACTGGAGGTCAAGCTCAGCAGGAAGCGGAAGCCCTGCTTGCCGTGGAGGCGGGGCTTAAATTCTCTGAGAGGGGATCATGGAGAACCACAGAAATCAGCAGAGCGTGATAGGCTCGCGCATCCGGGGCGGGGCCTGCATAATCCGGGCATTGGGCCTGGTGGAAATTGAGCATGCGTATTCTCTATCCTGCCCGAAAGGACGGGGCGTGCTTGGTCCAAAAAAAAGGACTGTTGGAGAGGTGGGCATGCGTAGTCGGAGCCTGGTCCTTCTGTTAGGGTGGAGCTTATTCATTTAGGGGCGGGACCCGAGGGAAGACTGAACAGCGTTGTCGCGGCTCGAAGAGGGGCGGGGCCTGGGGGGCGGGACCTCGGGTGGCCCGAGGTGGCTTGGCTGCTGGGTCCTCAGCGGCGCAGTCCCACTAGTCTCGGCCCGGGGATGGCGTCCCCACGGGAACTGACCCAAAACCCACTGAAGAAGATCTGGATGCCGTACAGCAATGGGAGACCTGCTCTGCACGCCTGCCAACGTGGTGGTGAGGGGAGGGAGGTGCACCGGGATGGATGGATAGAGGGCTTGGGTGGGAGTCTCTCGTGGAGAGGGAACAGGGGACTGGTGGGGAACCGGCACAGGCTATTATAACTGGTGGGAGGAGTCGGGGTTTGTGGGGGAGTTGGGGACGGTTGAAGAGGCGTGACAGTGGTGGGCTGAAGTGTGGTGGAGCAGGGGGTGGGTACAGGTGTGTGGGGCTATTTCTGCTTGATAGGGTAGGTCTGGCCACCCTATCGGGGAAGGCATTGGCTCCTTTGCTCCCCATTCTGTACCCAGGGTCTTCCGCTAAGGGAATACTCCGTGGAGAACTGAGCTGTGTGGCACTAGGAGAATCACTTTGCCTCTCCGAGTTCGAATTTTCAAAGGCCTAAGTATGGGCTAGTCCTCCAGAAGGAGGATGGGTGCTCCTTGGCCTTAATACCACGTTTTGGGAGGAGCTTTAGGGAATTACAAATGTGGTCAGGATAGAGGCAATAAGACCACTATGCCATGGACCCATCTTTGTGTCCATGGGGATGTAAGCATCCACATGTTTTATAGGTGAATAGTAAAACACAAGGGAGGAACATCTAGAAAATAAGCTGAAATTTGTGGAATTGCTAAGGGACACCTCTCCTGGAGTCCTGGATCTGCAGCTTTTTGTTACCAAGGAAAAGAAAGATTTGTTTTAGGAGTAACTGAAATATTGTAACAGATTAACAACTTGGCAAGGATCTCAAAGAACATCTAGTTCAGCTGGTGGTGCAGATATGGAAATGGATATTGGGAAATTGTCTGATGTGCCATGGTCTCCCTGAACTCCTGACCTCTGCTTATGTGTGATAAGGCAGGGAGGGGGATCCTCTGTGCTGGTGCTGCTAGGCTAGACTATGGCCATAGCTTTGACAATAATATGAGCCCTCCAGGAGAGGTTTGTGTGTATTTCTGATCATACTGTAAGTCCTGGTAAGGGGTGGCTGTGGTTTATTAGCTGATCAAGTTCTGATGGGGCCTTGGCCATTCAGGATTCACATTTTGAGTCATAAGAGGCTATGGCCTCAGCCTGGCCAACCCTACTGAGTCTAAGTAGGAGACTGGAGGTGTGGTGGCTGAAGCTCCTCTCTCTTATTCTTCTAACCAGCCTGTTAGGGCTGTGATGCTGACTAGGGGGCAGCTGCTATTATTTAATAAAGGGAAAGGAGTAAGAACCTTGATTTTGGAAGTGGGAATACTCAAGCTATTTACTGGCTGAGCTGTGTGGCCTTGAGCATGGAGCTGACCTTCCAGACTTTGGGATCCTTATCTATGCGAAGTGATAGTCATCATCTTTGATCCATGAAATGGCTGATTGACTGAGGAGTGTCCTTTGCTGCCAGCACCTCCACTCACAGTTGGAAATTCTTCCCCTGCTTGATGAAATTCAGAGCCACTCCTGAGGGCCCAGAAGCTCTTACATTCCCCATCATTGGCCTCTTAGCTCAGACCCAGAGGAGCTCTAGGGTGGGGCAGGCAGGGCTAGGGATAAAGAGGGTCCCAGGGATCACAGCAGGAAGAGCAATTTTTCTGATGACTTTTCTCATCCAAAAGTGACAGGATTCTTACTGTTTGAGGATAGGACCAGTGTGTGCAGAGGACAATAGGAGGAGAGAGGACTTTTTGTATAGAGGGCAATAGGAGGAGAGAGGACTTTTTGTATAGAGGGCAATAGAAGGAGGAAGAGAGGACTTTTTGTCTTTCTGAATGGGACCACCATGCACTAAGTGTGTGTGTGTGTGTGTGTGTGTATAATATATATATATATATATATAATATATATTACACACACAAATATATACAATATGTATATAATATACATATGTTATAATATACATATATGTTATAATATGTATATAATATACATATAGTATGTGTGTGTGTGTATATATGTGTGTGTGTGTGTGTGTATATATATATATATACTCTGTCTTCCCTAATTTGGCCTAAGGAGGTAGGAGCAGGTACAGTTTTGAAATCTGTTCTAGACATTTGTGGCTTTCAGTAGAAGTGCTTCTTGTCCTAGGCTTCTTATCTCCTAGAGCTCCTAGGACCTTCAGCAGATTTGCAGGAAAGGCACCAGTGAGGGAAGCTGAGTATGTTCAGTGTTATAGGAAGTGTGTTTTGTTGTCCTGTTTGCTCAGTATCGGGGTCCTTGTGGGCTCAGAGTTGCAGTTCTGTCTGCACACCCCAGCTCCTTTAGTCCATGTGCTGTCTGTTTCAAGAACTGTAGTGTGTTTCCTTTTTATCATGACTGCAATTTCTCCACTGCTGGAATTTCCCCAGCATTTTGCTGTTGTAAGCAGAGCTGCTATGAATATACTTGAACTTTGGTTTTCTTTGGGTCATTTCTTGTAACTTATCTTGAGGAGCAGAGGTGATAGCTCATTTATTGCCTTGTTTTGTACCTGGCTTGATTTGCTGGCCTGACTGCCCACCTTGCAAATTGATGGGAGAGGGGAAGGTGGATACTGTCACCAAATGATGTGGGAGGAAGTTAATGCCATGAGAAGAGGCCAGGGTCATCTCTGGGAAGACAAAAGATGTGAAGGGGTAGGGGATGTAGAAACACAATCCTGAGGTCATGGGATCTCCCCCCAAGAAGCAGTGGAAAGAGGTGGCCTTATCATGGATCCCTTCTGATTAGTGCCTTGAGAACTATGGCTAGCCTGGCCAAGAATTGTGCAAACAGCACAGGGCCTCAGTCATCTGCTAGCCTGAGGATTCAGGACCTTGCCTAACTTGTATTTCTCTCATTTAGGCCAAAGCTGAGGTTTTTCTGCATGTTTCTTCACTTTTGTTCACTGTTGGTCTGTGGTCCGTAGGGTTCCTTCCTTCCTTTCCCTGGGGTTTGCAGATTGGGTCACATGGCCTTTTGCACAAAGGCCATGCACAGGAGTGATGAAAAATCCACTGGCAAGCAGGGATCTTTACTTCTCTGTGGGTCCTTCCAGGGACCAGTTTGTTGCCTTCACATCCCAAGTTCCAAGTGCAGTTAGTGCCAAAGTACATCTGAAACTTAGCCTGGTGTGCTGCTGGGATGAGGTAGATAGCACAGCTTCCTGGAAGTGGTTTGGTTTGTACATGAGTTTAGTGCTGGACTTTGCTGAGGAATTTTCATCCCATTTCATGGTGGGGACACCAAGGCTCAGAGTTGCTGGTGTCAGAATCAAGACAGGAATCTCTGCCTGTCCAGTTCCTGATTTCCAAGCTAAGCTAAGAGGCCCCCATGAAGGGGGCCTGGCAGTCTATCTAAGGAGGGTTACTTGTGAAGGCAATTGCAGAACCAAGTGGGCAGACAACGGGCAGTGACAGTTCCCTATATGTGTTCATCAGGCTATCTGCTATGGTTTTACTGGCCCAGGTCCTAAAGATGATGAAAGAGAAGCTCTCTGAGGCTTCTGAGGTGAAATTGAATTTGATCTCATTAAAAGCCGAGTTGGATCATATGAGGCTGGCCGTTCTGCGGCCTTGGTGTCTGTTCTAGCCAACTAAGGCTCAGAGGAGTGGCCCTTCCCTACCTCTAGCCTTGGCAACTTCTCAGGTTGGCACACTGACCTGTTGGCACATGATATCTTGGTGGACAGACTATCAGAAGGACTGTCCTTGTGGATATTGGTCTGGGCTTTTATTTTTAGCCACTGGTGGCCCATCCCTGGTAGACTTCTAGATGCCTCCCTTCTCCTGCCCATATTTCTTAAACACCAACATGGTACCAGGCCTCAAGACCCTGAATGGCTCAGACACTGCAGGCCTGCTTCTGCTCCAAGTGATCAGTTTAGAGAGGGTGATGGTGTACCAGGTGATCATGAAAGTACCACAGAGAAAAGCTTGTTGAGAAAGCAGCTTTTGGTCTAGGCTTTGATGAAAAGAAATTCACCATAGGGCTGGGATTGTGGCTCAGCGGTAGAGCCCTTGCCTAGCATGTGTGAGGCCCTGGGTTCCATCCTCAGCACCACATAAAAATAAATAAATAAAATAAAGATATATTTAAAAAAAAAAAAGAAAAGAAAAAGAAATCCACCACAGGGAGGTCAAAACTGTGAGGCTTGTGGAGAGCCACAGTTTAGTCGGCATTTTGCTAGAGGGAATGGTTGAAAGGTGACCCTGTGTAATAGGAATGTGGAATAGGGAGGCTCCGGGATTAGGGTGGATCCTGCTGGGAATAGGGCGGCTCTGGGATTAGGGCGGATCCTGCTGCCTCGGGMGCCAGATACTTTGGAGTTCCGGTTGAGTTCTCCCGGGGTTCCGGGAGAATTGGCGAGCCCGGTGGAGGGAATGTATTCCCGAGAAGTGTGTGTAGAGTGCCGGTGAGAGTTCGGGAATAAAGAGTTGCTGTTTGAACCTACAAGGCTGTGTGGCAGCTCGGTTATTTTGTGCCCAGACGGTTTGCGGCAGAGGCTGTATATGCTGACAGCACTGAATGATTGCTGGGATGGGGGGAACATGAGAACGTTAAGGTATGGATTCCTGGATGAGAGAGGCAGGCACTGAATACCCCTTGGGTCTTCCATGCATAATGTCTGGTTGAGCTTTATATTTGCTGGTGTACATCAGAATGATAGCTGGTAAAATCCCTGTTGTGTCCACCAGAGCCAAGACAGTCCTGAAGAATAGGGATCTGCCAGCTTGAGACTGAGTGTGGGGTCTTCAGGGAGCTGTCTGATGCCAGGAGGCCTGGAAGGTACAACTGATGCCAGTCCTGTGCCCTGAAGCTGAGAGACCACAGTCAGAGAAGGAGGGGCACACAGGAGGGGTCCTGGCTGTGTCTGACACTGTGTGCTGCTTTCCTTCCAGTTTGCATGACCAACTGCCCAACGCTCATTGTCATGGTGGGCCTGCCTGCCAGGGGCAAGACCTACATTTCTAAGAAGCTGACCAGATATCTGAACTGGATTGGTGTGCCTACTCGGGGTAAGCCTTCTAGAGGACACTGGGGGATATGTCGGGGAGGGGAAGAAGAAAGAGAAGGCCAGATGGTGGGGAAGGATCCTGGTCAGGAGTTGGTAGGTTTACTGTTCTGTGAAAGCTGAGCCTTTCCTTCCTCTCAGAATTCAACGTTGGCCAGTATCGTCGGGACATGGTCAAGACATACAAATCTTTTGAGTTTTTTCTCCCGGACAATGAAGAGGGCCTGAAAATCAGGAAGTAAGTACATTGGGTGTGGGGAAGCACTGTTGTTGAGAAGGCCAACAAATTATCACCTACTTACTGAGAAGTCCTTGTAGCTTCTAGAGCCAAGCAGCTTGTGAATACCTGAGCTGTTCCTGAGCCCTAGCCTTGTTCTGCCTCAATGGCTGTGTTAAAGCCATTCTCTGGACCTCTGAGGATGTGGTTGGTTGGGATGTGATGGATCTAGAAACAAGAGGAAATGGTATATAGTCTCTTGGTGGCTGGCCCATTCCTACCCTGGTGTAAGGATCCTTGGTAAGGGCATCTTGTAAGACTACAGAAGCAGCTTCAGGGAGGGGAGAGATAGGTTAGAAGTGGCTATGCTGAAGGACTATCACCCCAGGCCTTGCTGGTGGTGAGAGGAACCCTAGATGGTACAGAGATGGCCTCTGGGGTAGAGCAGGGTGGGGTCTTTCCTCTCTTGCCCCAGAATAAGCACCTTCTGTATATTTAAAGCATGTTTGCCATGTGCTTGGCATGTTCTTGGCATCTGTGGATCATGCTTGGCTTTGTTTTGAAGTGGCCTGTATGCTTCTGGGTATGTAGTTCCCACTCCTACTCTTCTTAATGAGATAGAAATGTGCATATGATAACCTCATCCCCATTCAGACTTGAACTAAACACTTTATCCAAGGAACTGAGCATGACTGCTGGTCTGAGGAGCTATGCTGTGCTCTTCTTGGCAGGTGTTATCAGGGTGATCAAGGAGCCCCTTGTCAAGAAAGGTGTAGTGGTACACACCCATAACCCAATGACTCATGAATCTGAGCCAAGAGGATAGCAAGTTTGAGGCAAGACCCTGACTCAAAAATTAAAAAAAAAAAAAAAAAAAAAAAAGACTGGGAATCTGGGGATGTAGCTTGTTGGTAGAGCACCCTGGATTCATTCTAATCCCCAGTACTATTAAAAAAAGAAGAAGAAGAAACGCCTGAAGCCCCTGTCAGCCTAGGATGACAGAGACTTGCTTTGGGTTTTGGGCTCAGCCATCACGGTAGGGCAGTGAGCAGACGTTGCTCAGCTCTAGTGACTTCTCCAAATCAAACAACCTCAAGGTAGAAGTTATGAGGTTGCCCCCACAAACTGGCAAAGTGACGCCATGGTTTGGACACTAGGCTGTTTATGCCTTCTATGGCCACCAGGGGGCAAGATCTCCCTATTGTGGGACTTGGAACTTAAGCCACTTTGTTCCTGCTTTATTAGGGCTGGGCCAGGCTGATTCACCAAAAAGAGGGGTCTGATGTTCAGGTTTTTGTGGCCAACTTGCAGGTAAAACACAAGGCAGACCCTCTGGTGATGTGGAGCCAGATAAAAGAAAAAGGACTGATTTTGAGCCTGAAGATCAAACAAATGGGAACTTTACTCTTAGGCTGAAAAAATGAAAGTATAGATTAAAAAAAAGTAATTTGTCTATCTCTAGACCTTAAAGGATAAATGGATAAAATAGGAAAGATATTTCCACATGCCAATCCATATTGCAGCAATGAATAAAAGGGCTGAAATGTCCTGAAAATAGTGAAGTTAATAATCCATTGATAATTTGTAAGGGTTATAAATTCCTGAGAGTCTATGGACCTGGGCTGAAGGACAGAGATGGTGACATCCTCCTTCAGAAGGTGTGGTTTTGGAAGTTCTCTCTTCCAGAACAGGAAATTGAACATTAAGCTTGATATTGCACTGGGAAAGTCATGTCTCTCTTCCCCCACCACCAGCCCCTGCATGTACACAAGAAAATGTCTTTTTTAAAAGTACTTATTTTGATAATCAGGGGAAAATGCATGACAGCTAGAAATCATGAATAAGTCCAAGTGGCAGCAGGGATTTATGCGCAATGACATGATGAGGGCAAAGTACAGAAATAGTATTTTAAAAAAATTTCTACTAACTGGGCATGGTGGTGCATGTTTGTAATCCCAGTGACTTAGGAGACTGAGGCAGGAGGATTCTAAGTTTGAAACCAGCCTCTGCAACTTAGCGAGTCCCTAAGCAACTTAGTGAGACCCTGTCTCAAAATAAAATGAAAAAGGGTTGAAGTGGTACACATGTGTAATCAGCTACTTGGGAGGCTGAGGCAAGAGGATCACTGTTCGAGACTAGTCTAGGCAACATAGTGAAAAAATCCAAATGTTCAGGAGTGCATAGGCTTCACCTTACAGGAGCAAAATTAGTGAAACACTAAAAATTATTGCCAGGAAAAGAAGTGAAGCCTTGAAAAGTGAAGGAATCCTAGAGCTATCCCCCCTCCTATCTTGGATAGGGTAAGTTTCTGCATTCTCTTAGCTTGGGTAAGCTGCTGGGATGACCCTGTGTTTTTTCTCCTAAAGGCAGTGTGCCTTGGCAGCCCTCTGTGATGTCCGAAGATTCCTCAGTGAGGAGGGGGGTCATGTGGCGGTGAGTGAAACCCTGGTCACAGCTGGGAGTGAGACATGGGACCATATGGGACATGTGTATTATCTACTCCTTTTCACATAAGGCATCTGGAAGGGGAGGTGGGGTGCATGTGCCCTGGATGCCTCTGGGTGCCAGCCTGAGGAGGAAGTTTGGGGTGGCTGTGAAGGATGAAGTTAGAGGAAACTCCTGGCCCAAGAGTTTTCCTCAGGGATTATAACTGCATTTAACCCAAGAGGACTTCCCTTGGGAAGTCAGGGCTATCATTACACCTAAATTTTTGACACAAGTGATTTCTCCAGGTGTGGGAAGTCCTGCCTAGCATTTACTGCCTGTTCTAGGAACCAGCTGAGTCCCAGGAAGGAAATTCTACCTACATGGGGGCCCTTGCAGTAAGATGGAAGGGTGGGGCAAGTCTGAGCTAGGGTGTCAGCTGGGAAAGGCTCTAGCTCAGCCCTCTACTTCCAATCATGGGAGCTGTTCTTTCCCTTCTGCTTTCTACTTGGAGTTATTCCTCCTGGAGCTCTTTGTCCCCTGGCTTCAATATGGATAAAGTGCCTGTGGCACAGCTGTCACCCTGGGAGTTCTCTTCTCTCCTGGGTTGAATCCCCTGCTTCTAGATCTCATGTCTTCCTCACCTTTTACTGAGTTGCTTTGTTGAAGCACATCTTCCAGGAGCTTCCTAAGAAAGATACTTGAGGAGCTGGGTGTGGTGGTGCATGCCTGTAATCCCAGTGGCTTGGGAAGGGCTTGGGAGGCTGAGGCAGGAGGATCATGAATTTAAAGCCAGCCTCAGCAACTTAGCAAGGCCCTAAGTAACTCATTGAGACCGTGTCTCTAAATAAAATATAAAACAGGACTGGGGATCTGGCTCATGGTTAAGCACCCCTGGATTTATTCCCCAGTATCAAAATATAAATAAATAAAAAATAAAGTAATTGAGAAGAAAAGTGTATGAAGGTTTGCATATCAGAGATGTCTTTTCCTACTCCCTATCTCTCTTCTCTCCCCTCCCTTCCTTCTCTTTCTTCATCTTCACATTACATGGTTGGGTAGAGAATTTTAGGTTACAAAATCTTTTTACAACCTTGTTTTAAAGCTTCTAGAGAGACCACACAGAAATCTTACGTTGTTGATTTCTTGATCTTTGTATAAGGTTCATCTATTGAAATGATCTTGGGACTTTTCATGCTCCTTTCCCTTTGGAGAACTTTAGGTCTTCAAGGCAAAGGACCTTATGTTACGTCTTCTCTCCTCCACCCTGTTGTCTTTTAGGGGGCCCTTGCCATATCTTCCATATCAGGGAAATTGTCATACATTATTTCTTTGATAAACCATCTGTGCTACTTTCTGGCAACTCATTTCTCAGTTCTCCCATTTCTGAGCTGCTTTTTCTAGATTCCTGATGGCTACATGCTAAGCTTGATCCCTAATTTTGTTTCCCCACCTCACTTTCTCTGTCTTTTTTGTTTTGAGGCAGACTTCCTCAACATTATCTCATAAGTGGTTGAATATTTTTAAAATTTCAGAGATGGTCTGGGAATGTATCTCATTGTTACAGAACTAGCCTAATATATGCAAGGCCCTGGATTCAGTCCCCAGCACTACCAAAAAAAAGGAAAGAAAATCAGTGATTATACTTTTCTTTTTCTCTGAGTGGTCCAGTTTTTTTTTTTTTTTTTTAGGCGGGTGGGGGGTACAGGGATTGAACTCAGGGGCACTCAACCACATCCCCATATCCCGTTTTTTGTATTTTATTTAAGCAGGGTCTCACTGAGTTGCTTAGGGCCTCACTAAATTGCTGAGGCTGGCTTTGAACTCATGATCCTCTTGCCTCAGCCTCCCAAGCTGCTGGGATTACAGTCATGCACCACCACATCTGGCAAGTGGTTCAGTTTTTAGAAGTTTGTTCTTGTTTTGTGGTTACTATATCCTTCTGTATCTCTTTGGGATTTTATAAGATTTCTTTTTCTTTTTCTTTTTTTTTTTTCCCTTTTTTGTACTGGGGATTGAACTCAGGGGTACTTGACCACTGAGCCACATCTCCAGCCCTATTTTTTGGTATTTTATTAGAGACAGGTTCTCACTGAGTTGCTTAGCGCCTTTGCAGTTGCTGAGGCTGGCTTTGAACTCGCAATTCTCCTGTCTCAGCCTCCCAAGCCACTGGGATTATAGGCCCAGCTTTTTTTTTTCTTTTTAATGTTTTCTTCTGTTCTATGTCCTGTTTTCATTTTCTTCAAGTACCTTTTTGTTTTGTTTTCTTTGATTTTCTGTTTGATTTTTTTCTTTCCTTCTTTTTTTTTTTTTTTCAGTACTGGGTATTGAACCAAGGGACATTCAACCACTGAGCTACATCCTCAGTCCTTTAAAAATTTTCTTTTGAGACAGGGTCTCACTAAATTGCTGAGATTAGCCTTAAACTTTCCATCTTCTTGCCTCAGTCTCCCAGGTTGTTGGAATTATAGGCAGGTACTTGGCTAGTCTTTGTTTTTCTTTTCTTTCTTTCTTTTATTAGAGCTTTAGAGTTACACGTAGTAGTTGTTCATCCTGACAAACTCATACATACATGGAAATTATTTCAGTTCATGATCCTCCCCCTTTTCCCTTCCATCCTCCCTCCCCTTTTTCATTTTTCTTCCTCTACTCTGCTAGACTTCCATATTATATTAATTTATTTTTGATTAGTTCTTTACATTATCCTATTCTTCCCTCCTCCTTGCTTTTATTTTATTTTAACTTCCACATATGAGAGAAAATATTTGATTTTTGAGTTTCTGAGTTTGGCTAATTTCACTTAGCATGATATTCTCCATTTTCATTCATTTACTGGCAAATACTATTATTTCATTCTTTTTTATGGCTGAATAGAACTCCATTACTGCAGTGTGTGTGTGTGTGTGTGTATGTACATATGTATATATATTAAGAAATTGTGACATATGTATATATTACATATATATCGTGATATATGTATATGAAATATGAATGCTCAAAAATTTTGAAAAAATGTTCAACATCTCTAGTATATATATATATATATATATATATATATATATATATATATCAATTTCTTAATCCATTCATATATTGACAAACATCTGTGTTGATTCCATAATGTAGCTATTGTGAATTGTGCTGGTATAAACATTGATGTAGCTGTTTTGCTGTCATATACTGATTTTAGATTTTTGGGGGAGATACTAAGGAGTGGGTTAGCTGGTCATATGGTGGTTCCATTCCTGTTTTTTTTTTTTTTTTTTGGTACTGGGACACTCGAACACTGAGCCACATCCCCAGCCCTATTTTTTTAGAGACAGGGTCTCACTGAGTTGCTTAGCACCTCACTTTTGCTGAGGCTGGCTTAGAATTTGCAATCCTGCTGCCTTACCTTGAGAGCCACTGAGATTATAGGCATGCACCACCTGCCCATCCCATCCCTAGTTTTTTGCAAAATCTTCATATTGCTTTCCAGAGTGTTTGTACTAGTCTATAGTTCCACCAGCAGTGTACATGTATACCTTTTCCCTTACAACCTCACCAGCATTTATTATTGTTTGTATTCTTGATCATAGCCATTCTGACTGTAATGAGATGAAATCTTAGTGTAGTTTTGTTTTTCTTGTTAGAAGTTTTGCTTGAATGTCCACCGAGCCATGGTTGGATGCCCCTTTTAAAAAGTGATGGTGCATTCCCCACCCCAATCTAATATATGCCATTTATACTATATCTTTCCTTATAGAGATGAGTCTGTTTCTGAATTCTGTTTACTGTTGCACTAACATGTTTTCATACCCATACATCAATGTACATTGTCTAAACACAGTGTGCAAATAAGTTTTATACTAGAACTAGTTTTCTCAGCTTAATTGTTCTTCATTAATATATTGGCTATTGTTCCTCTTTGATTTGCAACTTAAATTTTAGAATAAGTTTTTCAAGCTACACAAAAAACCTTTTAGGCTTTTTACTGGAATTGTATTAAATCTCCTGATCAATTTGGGGATAAATTTTAATGATATCAAATCTTTCTGTCCTTGAAAATGACATGGCTCTTCGTTTTTAAATATCTTTCAATAAAGTTTTATGATTTTCTCCATTAAAAGGGGGAAAAAAAGTGACAGTGCAAAAGCTGATTGAATGTTTTAATGGCTACATTGTACCCTGGGGTGCTTGGATAGGTCCAGGCACTTCATAAGGAGCCCAGTGGGTCAAGTGTCTGGCTGGGTAGGGCAGGGAGCAGGCCTGGGGTTTCAACTACTCTTTGTTGGATCTCCAGTCAGTCTTCCCATTTCTTCTCCACCCTCGTCCCTTTTTTCAGAGAAGCCCATGCCTCATTCTAGGGCAAGTGGATATGCTCTGGCTTGTGTTTGTTTTTCTGCATTTCTCTGAGTCCGTCACCAGGTGTCTATCTCCTATCCTCTTGTTCTCTTTATCCTATTGGAATCTGAGTATGGAGTGGAAATAACGTAGATTCAGTTCACCTATATTTATATATTCATCTGTTTTTCATTAACAAAATATGTGAGACAGACTAATTTCATTTTATAAAGAGGTTTACTTAGCTTACTGTTTTAAAGGCTGAAAATGTAATATCAGACAATTCATTGGTTTAGTCTCCGTAGGGGCCTAATGGCATCAAGGTGGAAGCCCATGTGGGAGGAAGAGATCACATTGGGATACAGGAAGCCAGAGACCTGGATGGGCCAGATTTGCTGTTTTTATAACAATCCTCTCTGGAGAACTATCATAACATGAACCTTGGGGGATCAACAACAGCACCATGTTTAACTAGTTTTACTGGAGTTCCTGTTGGTTACATATGAACTAAGTGACTGCTATATGCATTACTGAATCATTTCTCTGTGAAAGTCTGCAGGTGACTGGCCAGGCCAGTCATCTAGGCAGCAACTGGTCCTAGTGAGAAATCCAGTTCTCAGAGATGGTCTCATTGCAGCCCCCTGGTGAACTATTTTCCCCAGGGCAAAGGGTGAGTTAACTCCAGTTTGGTCCTAGGTTTTTGATGCAACCAATACCACCCGAGAGCGGAGAGCAACTATATTTAATTTTGGGGAACAGAATGGCTACAAGGTGAGACGTTTTCACCTCCCCTCCTTGGTTGGGTCATCTGGGGTACCTTTCAGAGTCTCCTGATGCACATAGGGCTTTGGGCTACCATGGTTCCTGAGTATAATTTGGGATGAGAGGTCCTATTTTTTTTTTTTTCCTTTCTCTCTTCCTGGGGTTTTCTTTCCAGGGGGAAAGGAGATTGTAATGGGGAGAGTCCAAGGCCATACTTCTTTAGCTCTGTGATCCCTGACCCTGATTCAGCCCCCTTGAAAGAAAGGCCTCAGGGCCTGGCTGCTAGTTCACATTGCCCTGGGTGGGGTGGAGAATTCTATGGAAGAAGGCCCAGAGCCTTAAAGATGTTTTCCCTCCTACCAACCCTGGTGCTTCTGGTTTTTGCTGCAGACATTTTTTGTTGAGTCCATCTGTGTAGATCCTGAGGTCATAGCTGCCAACATCGTGGTGAGTGGTGCATTGGGGGCAATAATGAAACAAAAAGTGGCATGTGAGAGTGAGGCCCTTCTTCAGATTTGGGTTGATTCTGGGCTGACTTTCATTTGATCTTCTTGAACATTTTGGGGGCGGAGAAGTAGTGTAGCTTCCAAAGCTGGGTCACATGAATCTGGACCCCTGAGGACCACTCATATGGAAAGCTGTGTGGCTCCTGGGCATTCATTCTTGCTCTTTCCTCCTACCTTCATTCTTGTTCTTTCCTCCTTCTCCCTCCACTCCTCCCTCCATAATCCCCTGGACAGTGGGAGAAGAGCTTTGGCTAGGAGTGGGGATGGGGGTTTTGTTTTCCTGAGGAATGACCATGTGGGCTTGGGGAGATAGGACAGGTTGGGAAAGGCTTATAGGCCTTCCTGGACCAACAAGGTAAGGGACTTCAATCTCAGGGCACTTATGTGTGAACTCAGAGCAGGGAGCTGCTTGTCTCTTCCTTACGGGAAAATTCCCCTAACTTCTAGCCACAGGCCCCAGCCCTGGCCTGGCCTCTGGCCCAAACTTCCCCATCCCCCTGCCCAGCAGTCTCCTTTATCATCTCTGACTGGCCTTCAATCCTGATATGCCCTTACTCTGTACTTGGCTTCTGCAGCAAGTTAAACTGGGCAGTCCTGACTATGTCAACCGTGACAGCGATGAGGCCACAGAGGATTTCATGAGGCGCATTGAGTGCTATGAGAATTCCTACGAGTCACTGGATGAGGACCTAGACAGGTGAGTGAGGAGAATGCTGTGTCCTCTAGCTACAGTGGGTGAGTGGTAGGGAGTCCTACTTGGTAGCCACCTTGTAGCTCCCCATGGTGGTAGCTGAAGACCATACCAAAAGGCAGAGATGGTCTGACCTTTTTTGTTTCTTTTCTTGGGGCAGAAATTGTTGGCCATAGGTGACTTGTAGAACACCTGGTAGCTCTTCTGGATCTCTGCGAGTCAGGATTTCCTATTATTCTACCATAAAACCAAATCTAATTTTTGTGCAGAGAGTCTTCTTACAAGGCATTTGTAAACATTATATACTGTTCTTTCAATGTGCAATCTATTTTGGGGAGAGGAGGGAGACCCAGACCCTGCCTGTGAACAGTGGGCAGCAATCAGTGCTTGTTAGCTCCACTTGCCTTTCTCTGAAATGGAGGAGCAAGCAGGACTATTGAGTGGCAAGGAGTCTTTAGGTCCATAAGGGGCATGCAATGGAGGATCTTATAGCTGGGATCAACAAGCATTTTCTGTAAAGGGTCAGATAGTGAATATTTTATTTAGGCTTTGGAATGTCTAGTCTCTGTTCCAGTGACTCAGGTCTGCCATTGTAGTACAAAAGAAACAGTATGCAAATAAGCAGGTGTGTTCCAGTAAAAGTTTATAAAAACAGCCTATGGCTGCATTTGAATTGCTGACTATAGTATGCCAACTCCAGTTTCAAACACATAAACGGACAGTGGTTAAGTAAATAACAGTGTAGCCCTTGGTAAAATATTACATAGTAACTGTCAATCATAATTATGGAGAGGCATGGCAGAATATATGTTGTGTAACATTAAGTGGAAGGTTGAAATATAGATGTGTGTCTAGGTCCTGTATAATCATATAAGAATATATAATGCAAAAAAAAAAAAGAATATATAATGCATATGAACTAAGGAACACAAGCAACTGTTAGAGGGATAGTTTCTGGAGATGTTTATAGAACAGTCAGTTCTGGACAGGCCCTGGCCTGAGACATCTCTTTTGTCTACTGGGCTCTAGAAACCAGCCCAGATCTGAATAGAGCTAAYGGCACTTTGGGCCTCTCTGTAGCTTTCGTTTTGCCTCAGGTTTCCCCAGCACATGTTTTGCCTCATTGTCCTATGATGCAACTGTACATAGGGGCTCCTCTAGAGCAGCTCCTATTAAATTTTTCAGGAAACATTGCTGTTTTTGTTGGTAATGTTAGAGTAATAACTCTAAACTGAGGCCCCATGGACTAAACAGTTAGAATTCAAATGTGAATATCCAGAGGCCTCTTAGGTGGATCACAGCCTGTCCCTACCCCTGCCAGCATAAGTGTGTTCTCCAAGCTTTAGGGTCATATATGTCTAAAGCAGAGAAAGTAACTAACTGAGTTGGGTTTATCAGCTGCTACCACCAAGACCATCCTTCTGTGTTTCTTGTCTTGTCCACCAGCTGTATGATGTAGGGTGTGGCAGCTGCTTGGCATATATAAATGACCTGGACTGGGTTCTTGGGGGAGGGGTTTTCTGGAGGAAGCAAAGCTGACCAGGAAGCATGGGGAGCTTTTGCATTTGCCAGCTACTCCCAGGTCAACCCTTGGGAAAATTGTCTCTTGTTTCAACTTACAGACGGTGTATTGAGAGCTCAGAGGTAGGCAAGAAGGGACCTGGGGGACACATGAGCAGCAATAAAAGTCATGATGTGGTATGACTGGCCACTGCTTTGGATGTCACCTTTGTAAGCATGATTAGTGTTGAGCACTTCTCACTGGACTTGTCTGTGTGTCATATGTGGTGTGGTGTGTTGCTCCTGCCTCACCCTTATTACTTGCACACCAGCTAATGGTCCTGAGTGTTGTGATCTCATCTTGTTGGTTGAAGATGTAAGGCCTTACAACTGGGTCCTGTGGCTGGCCAGTGTGCCTTCTAAGGTCCCTGACCACACTCACAGGCCTCTCTCTACCTTCTCTCTGGAAAGGGATCTGTCCTATATCAAGATCATGGACGTGGGGCAGAGCTACGTGGTGAACCGTGTAGCTGACCACATCCAGAGCCGAATCGTATATTACCTCATGAACATCCATGTGACTCCCCGTTCCATCTACCTCTGCCGGCATGGGGAGAGTGAGCTCAACCTCAAGGGCCGGATCGGTGGGGACCCAGGACTATCCCCCCGGGGCAGGGAGGTTAGTGTGTATGTACCTGCCCATTGGTACCTCTGGGTGGCTGGATATCTGTATATGTGTGTGTACTATGATTGGGCTTCTGTGCAATTGAGGTACATGACCTTCATTCAGTCTAGAATATTTCTATCCTGTAGGGAAGGTCATCAGTCACCTAGCAAATGCCTAGAACTCTGGTCTCCATGTGAGCAGTCATTAGCTGAGCCCTTTTTCTGGCAGAGTTCTACAACCCTTGGAGTGACATGAGCAGTGCTGAAGGGTTGGGGGGCTGATAGCTGTGCCATAGTCTAGAGGGATATTGAGGCCTCAGCAGGAAGATCATGTGGCCTAGGGCATATGGACTGGGGTGGGAGGATCAACAAATCATGGCTGAAACTGCTTTCAGGGCCTGGGGAGAGTGCCCTAGAATATTGCTTGTAAGTCTATGTCATTGGGAGTTCATGTTTTTTACTAAACCTATGTTCTCTGAGGCTGAGCATGATCCCATGGACCCTATGGCTATAGGATCCTTTTAGGGCAACCCAGGACCTACAGGTCTGAATTTGCCTGTGATATGTTTCAGTTTGCAAAGAGTCTGGCCCAGTTCATCAGTGACCAGAACATCAAGGATCTGAAGGTCTGGACGAGCCAGATGAAGAGGACGATCCAGACAGCTGAGGCACTGGGTGTACCTTATGAGCAGTGGAAGGTTCTCAATGAGATTGATGCGGTAATTACCATCCCTTCCTTGCCCTGCCTGTTTCCAGAGCACAGTGCTAAGTGTCAGGGAAAACTTTCTCCTTAATTTACTTCATTGTTTTTTTGACTCCCCCTTCTCTTTTACATTTAAACGAACTAAATTAATCAAAATTCATTTTTTAAAATGTTTATTTTTTAGTTAAAGGTGGACACAATATCTTTATTTTATTTTTATGTGGTTCTAAGGATTGAATCCAGTGCCCCATGCATACTAGGCGAGCACTCTACCTCTGAGCCACAACCCCAGATTTATTTTGATSTTCTGATAAAAGCTTTAAATCTGTTCTTTCCCCAGTTAATTCATTTGCCTATAGCCATTTAAAAATTTTTTTTGAAGTGTAGAAGAAACAGTATACATCTACAACAGAAATTGTAGATGGACAGAATACCATCCTTTTATTTGTTTATTTTTATGTGGTGCTAAGGATAGAACCCAGTGCCCCACACATGCTAGGCAAGTGCTCTGCCACTGAGCTACAGCACAGTCCCACCTATAGCCATTTATCTATATTTTTTCTGTCAATTTATTTTACTTAATTTTATATTACGTTCTTACATATATGTATCTTTATATCACATTATTTTAATTATGGTAGTTCTGCTGTATTTTTTGGCTCTTTGGAAGCTTATGTGAGATCTTTTTTTTTTTTTTTTTCTTTTACATTGTCTACCTTCTCTTTTTTCTTTCTGTACTAGGAATTCTGTGGAGGCTACTCAATTTTGAAGTCACTCCTACTGTTGGAGTGTAGTCTTTAAGGTTCTCACTGAAAACCCTAGGGGCCCCAGGCCTTTTTTGTTGTTGTTGTCTCTTTGGCCCAAGACTGCTGACAGCTCTACTAAGCTTCTGCTTAGTTCTTATTTTCTGTTTGGCTTCTTACCTTTCAGCTTCCACTTTCAGATTGGCAAAATCTACAAGAAAAAGTGATACTATCACATATCAACTTCACCTCTTTAGACCTCCCTTTGCTCTAAGATCTTGACCTCTCAAGTCCTCTCTATCTTGGTAACTCTATGATGATATCAAACAGATTTAAAAATTTTTTTCTCTCTGGTTTTTCTAGTTGCTCTTGTTTCTAGTTGGTTGAAACAAGCTAGTTTTCCATTGCCTGAAACAGAAGTCTCTAACAGGATCAGATTTGAATCTTAGAAAGATCACCTCAACTCATGTTGAGAATGTTTTTGTTGGAGTGAAGTGGGAAACGAGCTGGGGAAGGAGACTAGTTGGAGCACTTGCAGTGGATTGGTAAGGTGTTTACATCTAAAACTTGGGTGATGACAGTGATAGAGGGAGGAATGGATGGATTTGAGGGATGTTTATTCATCCTTCAAACTTATGTGAGCCCACCCTGTGCCAAGGAACTATGGCCAGGTTCTGAGGACCAGGACCAGAGAGGGAAGTGGTAGAACTTGTGGGGATAAAGGGAGAAAAGTATCCAGGATGACTGTAGGTTTCCAGTCACTGGGATGAGTTCTGGAGCAAGGAAGATGATGAACTCACACTAGAGCAAGCTGTCTTTTTCTTTATCACATGGTAGATGCTCAGTAAATATGCACTGAATGAGAGAAAAGAATTCCTGGGAAATATTAAAAAACAGATACCTAAGAGACAGTTTGATCTCTTAAGAGATAAGAGAGAGTTGAGCTTGTTCATCTCCATATAGGCACGATACTTGAGATTGTGAAATGGATAAGAGGGTAGAAGGAAGAGAAGCAGGGCCCAGGACAAAGTCCTGGGAAACCTCAACATGTAAGGGTTAAGGAGAAGCCTTTAGATAGCCATCTAATGAAGTGAAAGGGAAACCAAGCTGATGGGATCCTTTGGAAATCAAGGCAGAAAGAAGGACACAGTATCAGGGAGGGCTGATACTTGGGAATGAGGCACTGAGGTCAGGCTCCAAATTAACCACTTGTATGTCAACAGTGTCACCAGGCTTCTTGATATGAGCTTGGTGGGGCTGGAGCCTGGTGGGAATGGGTGGGAAGTGAATGGACGGCAAGGAGGTGAATACCTGGCCAGGTATAAGCTGAAAAGGTATGGCTGGTAGAAAGAGAGAGAGTGGAGACTCAAGGGACCCTGAGAGGTTCCAGAGGCCCAGATTCCTGAGTAACAGGAGGGGAGGAGGGGAACGTGGGCACAGAAAATTTGATATCTTTTTTCCTTAGAGTCTAGCTCTGTCTGGCTATTCCCAGTCCACCCAAAACTCATAGCCAGATTTTTTTACTCTAGTAAGTTTCCAGTTGATTTTTGTGGATTTTCTTGAGGAGCTATTATCTGAAATAAGGATAATCCAGATTTTTCCTTCCTAATTTAGGTATCTTGTGTTTCTGTTTCATATTATTACATTGGCAAGAGTATATGATGAGCAGTGTACATGTTCTTTTTGGTGCTTATTTTTTTTTTTTTAGAGAGAATTTTTAATATTTATTTTTTAGTTTTCGGCGGACACAACATCTTTGTTTGTATGTGGTGCTTTGGATCGAACCCGGGCCGCACGCATGCCAGGCGAGCGTGCCACCGCTTGAGCCACATCCCCAGCCCTTTCGTGCTTAATTTAATGGACCTGTACTTTAGGCTTCCATCCTTTGGAAAGGTGATAGATGACTGAGATGATTCTGTCCTGATTTATTTATTTTTTTTTTAAGAGAGAGAGAGAGAATTTTAATATTTTATTTTTTAGTTATCGTCGGACACAGCATCTTTGTTTGTATGTGGTGCTGAGGATCGAACCTGGGCCGCACGCATGCCAGGCGAGCGCGATACCGCTGAGCCACATCTCCAGCCCTGTCCTGATTTATTTTAAAATTTTATTATAGGGAATTTCAATTATACATAAAGATCAAGAGAATATTATGATGAAGAATACCAACTTCAACATGTTCAACATATGTGTTTAATCTCCATCCCCCCAAATCCAGGCAGAATGTTTCAATTCAGTATATATCTCTAGAAATAAATTAAGGACTTTTTTTCTCATTACTGTAACTGTATTGTCATTATGAAACCTCAAAAAAATTCCTCTGATTGTCTTATAAAATTGTTTATAGTTGTTCTGTTTAAATTAGAACTTAATCAGAAATCTTGTCATTTGTAGCAATATGGATGAGCCTAGAGGAGGTCATGAAAAATGAAATAGTCCAGCCACAGAAAGGCAAAGGCCACATGATCTCATTCATATATGGAATATTTTTTTAATATCTTTATTTTGTTTTTATGTGGTGCTGAGAATCGAACCCAGTGCCTCACGCATGCTAGGCGAGCACACTACCACTTGAGCCACATCCCCAGCCCAATATGTGGAATCTTAAAAAAAGTGATCTTATAATATAAGAATAGAGGATCCAGGCTGGAAAGCGGGAGAGAAAAAGTGTGAATCATGGGTACTGAAACACATTAGGTAGAAATAAGTTCTGTTCCACAAAACAATAGGATGATAGTAGTTATCAACTGTATATTTCAAAATAGCTAGAGAGGATTTTGAATGTTCCTAACACAAAGGAATGATAAATGTTAGAGGTGATGGATATGCTAATTACTCTGATTTGATCATTATATATATGTGATAATATATGTGTATATATGTGATGAAATATCACACTAGTCTCCATAAATAAGTACATGATTATGTGTCAATTAAAATTTTTTTCAAAAAGAACTTAAGTCAACATATTGCATGTACACTGTGTCCTTTTTTTTTTTTTTTTTTTTGTAATTTTTTTGGTACTGGGGATTGAACCCAGGGGTGCTTTACCACTAATCCACATTCCCCAGCCTCCTTTTATATTTTATTTAGAAACATGCTCTTACTGAGTTGCTTAGAGCCTCACTAGGTTGCTGAGGCTGGCCTTGAACTCATGATCCTTCTGCCTCAGCCTCTCGAGTTGCTGAGTTTACAGGCATGTACCACCATACTCCATTTAAAATTCATTTATTAAGGTAATATTTTTCCTCATTGGACCTATTGATAATGAAACATTATTTTCTAGTATCAGATCATTGTATTCTTAGAGTAAACCTTARTTGATTGTGATAAGTTATTCTTGAACTTGATTTTATGTAGGTTTGTTTCTTGGGATCATATCTGGGACCTCACACATGAGGCAAACACTCTTCCACTGACCTACCTCTCCAGCCTTTTTTAAATTATTATTATTATTATTATATATTTTTAATTTGTTCTACTTAGTTGTACATAACAGTAGATCCATCCCTTTTTTATAAATTTTATTTTGAGACCGGATCTCACTTAGTTGCTCAGGTTAGCCTAGAAACTGTGATCCTTCTGCCTCAACTTGGGATTATAGGCATGTACCATTATGCCTGGCTTAGGCTAGGCCTTCGTATTTGAGATAATTGTTTGATAATAATTAAAATTTACTCATTAGTCCATTCTTTAAAAACATATTCTTGAATCATCTTACCTCCAGAACTGTTTGAAACATATGACAGAGTTGAAAGACTTATGGGAATTCCTGTATATCCACTGTATTATTTTTCAGTTGCTACATAACAAATATCAAAACAGTATTTTCAAACAATACACATCTATTATTTCACAGTTGCTGTAGGTCAGGAGCCTGACAAAGTGTGGCTGAGTTCTTTGCTAAAGTTTTTACCAGGCTACACTCAAGGTGTTGGCTATGGTGTCCATCTCATTTGAGGCTCAGGATCTCCTCCAAGATCACATTGACTGTCAGAATTTATCTCCATTGCTGAAGTTGTAAAGTCCTGTTTTTTTCCTAGCTGTCAGTAAGGGTGTTCTAAGCTATTAGAGGCCATCTACAATTCTTGCCATATGGACCTCTCACAGCTTGGCAGCTTATTTCTTCAAAGTCAGTAAGAGATAATCAATCTCCCTCTTTCTGTCTTCCTCCCTCCTTCCACCTCCTCTCTTTCTCTAAATGAAATGTTAAATCTGCTAAAATTAAATCTTATAATATAACCATGGGATTGACAGCCTATCATATTTGCAA